TCTACCTTTCTCCTTCCCAGCATCATTAGTTTGGTTGTCACACCTATTCTTTCTGCCTGGTACTGGCCAATCAGCGTTTTATTAAACCAGTTCTGAGTGACAAATCTTTACAGTGTATAAGAGATTGTTCCACAGCATCGGGTGCCATATGCAAACGGACATTTTCTGTCCCGACCACCCAGTCCTGAATAACCAACCACAAACCTGAATATGAATTACACATTGCCGTCAGAGAGAGGCTTCACCCAGCAACTAATGGAAACAGATGCAGAGACTCACGGCCAAGCATTAGGTCAAGCTTCCTGCAGAAGAAGAGGAGGAAGGAGTGTTGGATGCCAGGGGGGAGTCAAGGACATTATAAGAAAAGCCACAGAAGCAGCTACCCTGGCTCATAGAGGCTCACAGAGACTGCACCCGGCCCTGATTTTGTATTATACGTCTGAAGGATGAGTCAGATGACACTGAGGTCGGATTAGGTCCCACTGAAGATGCAATCTCCAGTGAAGAGGCATTTCCAGATGGCATGGGTTTTCCCTGATACCAGGGGTGAGACCCAGGCTCACAGCACTGCCGTGCCGGGCCCTGGACGTCCCTAAGAATGATGCCCCTCCACCCCCGTGGAGGAGGGAGGAGAAGTTAAGGACCAAATGAAGTCAGTTCCTCAGGCTGCAGTGATCTCTAATCAAGGCTGATAAACTAGAACCGGCTACAAACAGGTCATGGAAAGGGGCTGGGGGGGGCCTGTTTGGGAAGAGCAGACACGGTGCCCATCAGCTATCCCCTCGTGCCCTGGGGCTGAGAGGAAGTGCTGGGCCAGGAAGAGAGGGGATCTGGGGATCCAGACCAGCCGGTCCATTGCTCACCTGGCAAGCACCATGTAAACTGGGCATGGTGGTTGTGGCTTTAGTTCTCGGCTAAGGTCATCTGGAGATATAGAACCTCACTGAGACAATGTCTCCATCAGATCTGCCTGTGAGGGACTCTGTGCCGACATCTCCTTGAGTTTTGATGGATGGATGTAGGAGACCCAGCCCAGTGTGGGCAGAGCCACCCCTGGGCAGGCTGAGCGAGTCTTGGAGAGCAAGCCAGTAAGCAGCTGTCCTTGGTTTCTACATCAGCTCCTGCCTCCAAGCTCCTGCTTGAGTTCCTGTCCTCACTTCCCATCGTGAAGGGATGTGAAAGATGAAATCAACCCTTTCCTCCCCGAGTTGCTTTTGTTTGTAGCACCTATCACAGCAATAGAAAACAAATTGGTATTCTCTATAATACCAGCACTCAGGAGGTAAAGGTTCAGGGTTAGCCTGGGCCACATGGGAGCCTTTCTCAAAACAAGAAAAAAAAAAAAAAAAGTAACAAGAGAGAAAAGACAAATTGTCTCTAGTGGAGATGCCACTGCCAACCACACCACCCTGAGGCTGAGGGTGAGTTGGAAGAAAAGGGTCCTCTTACGCTTGCAGGCGCCAAAGTGTCCTCAGCAAGGGTCTGCCAGCTGCAGCAATGACGTGAGGCTCTTTACAAGGGGCTGGAAGGACCCCTCAAGCTGCTTGCGCCCCTGACGCGACAGCAGCCACCCTTGGGTCACTGTAGGGAGTGAGGAGGCTCTGCTCACTCGATGACCTCGGGCACCCTAGGAAGAAGTGGCCAACGGATGGAAGAGGAGGACCCATACAGGTCACAACATGCCACCCCAGGGACAGCAACGGCAGGCTGTGAAGTCACCAAGACAGAAGGCAGTGGCAGAGTTTAGGAGGTGAGGCCACAGCAGAAAAGCAGAGGCCCTACCTGCAGGGGTGATCTAACACCCCAAACCTTTGAAAGGGCTTCAAAGCGTTCTTTTATCTGTTTGTATTTTGAAGACACAGTTTCTGTGTAATCTCGCCCGGCTAGGTCCTGACTCTTCCACCGCTATCAAAGGAACGTATCTAAGTCTCTGTCCCTCTAAAGAACTCAAGATTCAATTCTGCTCCTCAGAGAGGCTGCACGGCAAGATGCCCACATCCTCTCCGTCTCCAGTCCCTCCAGAAGTCCTCCGGCCTCTCCTCGCCCCTCCTTAAAAACCCTTCTCCAAGCCCGTCATTGGGGGTGCACGCCTTTAACCCCAGCACTTGGGAGGCCTCTGCCCCCTAAACACTGGGGTTCACCCGGCTCCACCTAGTGTCTTAACCATAGCCAGGCTTCTGAAACTACGTTTTTATGTTTTTTTTAAGAGACATCCCCTTCTTCCCCCTCTCTCTCTTAGTAAGAGAGAGAGAGGGAATCATAGAGTGTTTCCTGAAGGGCACTGTGTAGGATGGCAGCTGACGACTGTAAGATTGCACAAGGGAGCGGAGACCGCTTTTCACTGTGAACAAAGGTTCTGGGCTTATTTGCAAGATTTTCTGAAAGTTTTGGGTTTTCATGTGAGGAAAGAAAATGCCAAAGCTTGCTGGTGACCCCTTGCATAGCTGATTGCTGCTTTAGTAGTCTCTCTACATAGAAAGGTATTGTCCCCATTGTCACAGCAGTACAGCTGTTAGCTGCACGCGACTCTTGACTCGCTGATGTCTGGAGACTGTAGACATTGGAGTGAGGGGCAGCTTAGCCTTCCCATGGACATTTCCCTGTCAATCTCCTTCCTCCCTCCCTTCCTTCCCTCCCTCCTCCCTCCCTTCCCTCCTCCCTTCCTTCTTTCCTTCCTCCCTTCCTTCTTTCCTTCCTCCCTTCCTCCCTCCCTCCCTCTCTTCCTCCCTGCTTTTGACTGGGTCCTTTCTAGCCAGTCTGACTTCAAACTCACTATGTAGTTGAGGGTGACCTTGAACTCCTGCCTCCACTTCCAGACGACCCGGATTACGATCATGCTTCCCCGAGCCAGCCTGGTTTATACCATGCTGGAAGTAAAGTCCAGGAAATTTTGCATGCTAGGCAAGAACTCCACTCAGCGAACCAAAGCCCCAGAACTTATGTGATTTTGGTTGTTGCTGTTGACTTCTTTTTAACTTAAGAAAAAAATCTGACACAAGGCCTCAGTATTGTTTGTGGTTCACTCTTGGCTTTTTGGGCTTTTTAAGGGGCCAACCACCCAGCTCCCAAGTAAATCACACACGGAGGCTTATTCTTAGTTATGAGTGCCCAGCCTTAGCTTGGCTTGTTCCTAGCCAGCATTTCTTATCTTAAATTATCCCCTCCACCTTTGCCCTCTGGGCTTTTATCTTCCTTACTTCTGTATATTTTACTTTCTTTCTTACTTGGTGGCTGGGTGGCTGGGTGGCTGGGGGGGTGGCTGGGTGGCAGGGTGGGGGGGTGGGGGGATGGCTGGGTGGCTGGGTGGCTGGGTGGGGGGATGGCTGGGTGGGGGGATGGCTGGGTGGGGGGATGGCTGGGTGGGGGATGGCTGGGTGGGGGGATGGCTGGGTGGCTGGGTGGCTGGGTGGGGGGATGGCTGGGTGGGGGGATGGCTGGGTGACTGGGTGGCTGGGTGGGGGGATGGCTGGGTGACTGGGTAGCTGGGTGGGGGGATGGCTGGGTGGCTGGATGGCTGGGTGGGGGGATGGCTGGGTGGCTGGGTGGGGGGATGGCTGGGTGGCTGGGTGGAGGGGGTGGCTGAGAGGGGGGTGGCTGGGTGGCTGGGTGGCAGGGTGGGGGGGTGGCTGGGTGGGGGGTAGCTGGGTGGCTGGGTGGGGAGATGGCTGTCCATCTCTTTGTTTCTACTCCTAAGTGTACTGTCTGCCTGGCAGCCACCCCCCTCATCCTTGCTCCTGCCTCACCATTGGCCATTTAGCTCTTTATTAGGACCACCAGGTGTTTTAGACAGGCACAGTAACACAGCTCCACAGAGCAAACAAATGCAGCCTGAACAAAAGTCACACACCTGAAATAATATTCCCCAACATCTCAGCACCTAAGTCTGGGTGGCCTGGAACCCTCTATGTAGATGAGGCTGGTCTTGAACTCACAGAGGTTTGCCTACCTCTATCTCCTGAGTACTGGGAATAAAGGTGTGCGCCACCGCCACCCGGCTCTGGCTGACCTTCTATTCTCCCTTAACAAGAACGTGTTTTAGATTTATTCATTTTAGTTATACCTGCATGTATGTATATGCACCACATTCCAGCCTGGTGTTTAGGGAGATCAGAAGTTGTCAGATTTCTCTGGAACTGGAGTTACAGGCAGCTGTGATCTGCCACGTGGGTGCTGGGAATCAAACTCAGGTCTTCCGTAAGAGCAGGGAGGTGCTTTTAACTGTGAGCCAGCTCTCCAGCTCCACACTTTGGGTTCTGCATCTGAGTTTCAGGGGCTTGGGCTGGAGTCCTGCCCTGCCACACCTGCCCTGCTGTCTAACTGGCCTGCTGACCTATCTGTTGACCCACCAGTCATGGCTCCTCGGCTTCCCCTCTCACCTGTATATATTCTAGGCTTTTTAGCCCCGGTTGGCTTTGAACTCCTGGCCTCCCCGACTCCCCTGGCTGAGGGCTGGGATTACAAGCATGGCTGCCACCGATCTCCGTTCTACTTTTCTGTCAACCTACCCATCTGCTAGTGTCCCTATTTCTGGGTGTCTGTGCATGTGTCCTGGCAAGATCTTGGGTGGGCAGCAGGGTGGGAGACAAAGCTTGAGAGAAGGTTCTAGCCACAGAAAGAGAGTGCAAGCAGGATTGGGTTCACATGGAAGAAATGGAGCAGGCTTACAGCTGGAAGAGGTCTGCAGCCAAGACTTGAGTGTTAGGCAAGCACTCAGTGACTGAGCCACACCCCCAGCCACAAGTCCTGGGGTGTCTTAAAGCAACAGGCAGTGTACAGGACTTTCCAGGGCTGTGGGTGTACTATGAAAACCCTCAGGATGAGTAAACATGGAAGCTGCTCTGGGAGGCAGGCCAAACTGACTATCATCCCACGAGGCTTCCAACCAAATACCACAGGACAGTCAAGAAAGGCTGGGCAGAGGCCCAGGGGCGTGCCTAGCAGCTAGGGGTGGAGTTGGTTGTCCTCAGAGTTCCACAGTTCTGTGTACAGACAGGATGTAAGAAAGAACCAGGGGCTCCAGGCAGAGCTCTGCAAGCTACAGGCAAACAGGGAAGCTTCTGTGAGCAACACAGGCCCAGGCTGAGGGGCGGCGGAGGAGGCCAAGGCCTGGGTTCCTAGGTTTGAAGGGCCATTACCCCTGGGTCTGAGGGAGGAGGCTGGGCCTGGACCCCAGGGTCTGAGGGAGGAGGCCTTGGGCCTGGACCCCAGGGTCTGAGGGAGGAGGCCTTGGGACTGGACCCTGGGTCTGAGGGAGGAGGCTGGGGTCTGGTTCCTGGGTCTGAGGGAGGAGGCCTTGGGCCTGGACCCTGGGTCTGAGGGAGGAGGCTGGGGTCTGGTTCCTGGGTCTGAGGGAGGAGGCTGGGCCTGGACCCCTGGGTCTGAGGGAGGAGGCTGGGCCTGGACCCCTGGGTCTGAGGGAGGAGGCTGGGCCTGGACCCCTGGATCTGAGGGAGGAGGCTGGGGTCTGGTTCCTGGGTCTGAGGGAGGAGGCTGGTCTGGACCCCTGGGTCTGAGGGAGGAGGCTGGGTCTGGACCCCTGGGTCTGAGGGAGGAGGCTGGGCCTGGACTCCTGGGTCTGAGGGAGGAGGCTGGGGCCTGGACTCCTGTAGGAGAGAGAATGGGCTGACTCTGAGGGAAGAGAGCTAGAACTTGGGCACTTGAGTCTGGGGAACAAGGCTGGGCCTAGATTTTTGGGTCTGAGGGAGGAATTCATGGAACTGGACTCCTGGGTCTGTGGTGGGGGTTGAGGTCTGAGCCTCTGGGAATAAGGGAGGAGGATAAGGTCTGGGGTCTTGGGTCTGAAGGAGGAGAAAAAATTAACAGAAGCCTGAGACAAATTTTGGTCTGTCTAGTTCTGTAATTAATTAACTACAGTGGATGAAATGAGGAGGTGAAAGTTCACACAGGACCAGGGCACCCCGGCCTTCTTGGACTGGGTCCCCATCCCACCACCCGGCATCCTGGGACCTTGTGAAGAACCAGCAGGGCAGGGGACGGAGGAGTCACGTGTCCTTCCTACTTCAGGTTGCCCAGTCAGGATGGGGATGCCCCAGCCCTGGGCCCTCAGCCTCTTGCTGGCCCTCCTGCCTCGGACCTGGGGTGCAGGTAAGGGGCCTCTTGGATCTAGACTAAGCAGAGGGGACAGGAAGAAGAGCCAGAGGGTGGAAAAGAGACCGTAAGCCAGGGGTGGTGGCGGCTCACGCCTTTAACCCTCGGGAGGCAGAGGCAGACAGATCTCTGTGAGTTCGAGCCCAGCCTGGTCTGCAGAGTGAGTTCCAGGGGCTACACAGAGAAACCCTGTGTCAGAGAAACAAAGGGGGGTGGTGGGAACGGAACGACTCCACGATGTCCCTGGGAATATCCCCGTGGACAGCTTTCCTCAGCTTTTGAGTCAAATACCCTGGTCAGCCTCAGGGTACCTGCCCCTCCCTTGCAGGGTCTCACTGGCCCTCAGAAGGTTCCACTGTGCACCGCGGGGCGCAGTCCATGTCTCACTGACTCTCCCGTTTCCTCGGCACAGAGACCCGTCCCCCGCTGCTCTACCACCTCACAGCTGTGTCCAACCCAGCCAGCGGCCTTCCCTCCTTCTGGGCCACAGGCTGGCTGGGTCCTCAGCAGTACCTGAGCTACAACAGCCTGCGGCAGGAGGCTGAACCCTGCGGGGCCTGGATGTGGGAGAACCAAGTGTCGTGGTACTGGGAGAAGGAGACTGTGGACCTGAAAAGCAAACAAGAGCTCTTCTTGAAGGCCCTAGAAGCCTTGGAAGCCCATATTAGTGGGCAGGAAGGTGGGGTGCAGTAGCCTGGGCCTGAGGAAGGAAAGTGGGGTCTGGCCTTCTGGGTTGAGGAAGGAGGCTGGAGCCCTAGGTCTGAATGAGGGTGAGGTCCAAACCCCTAGGAACAAGGGTGAAGGCTGGGTCTGGACCCCTGCGTCTGAGGGAGGAGGCTGGGGCCTGAGCCCCGGGTCTGAGGGAGGAGGCTGGGGCCTGAGCCCCGGGTCTGAGGGAGGAGGCTGGGGCCTGAGCCCCGGGTCTGAGGGAGGAGGCTGGGGCCTGAGCCTCGGGTCTGAGGGAGGAGGCGACAGCAAGGCTGCCCTTGTCCTCAGTCCGCTCACCTGTGTGTTGGCATCTAGGTAACTTCATACTGCAGGGCCTGCTGGGCTGTGAACTGGCCCCCGACAATTCCTCATTGCCCACCGCTACGTTCGCCCTCAATGGCGAGAACTTTATGGAATTCAACCCGAGCATTGGCAACTGGAGTGGGGAGTGGCCTGAGACAGAGATCGTTGGTAATCTGTGGATGAAGCAGCCTGAGGTAGCCAGGATGGAGAGTGAGTTCCTGCTGACTTCCTGTCCTGAGCGGCTGCTAAGTCACCTGGAGAGGGGTCTCCAGTACCTGGAGTGGAAGGGTGAGCCCATCTCCAGCCCCTCCTCTAGATATCTTAGCCATGCTCAAGACCCTCCCAGCATTCCCCTCAGGACATTCCCGCACATTCCGGTGGACCTGTCTAAGCCGAGGTCTCCCGTAACCCAGCCTACTCACTATGCAGCGGTGGCTGATCTTGAATTCATGATCCTCCTGCCTCCTTCCAAGTGCTGGGTTGACAGAAGCGGGTTGCCATACCCAGCTAATTGTAGGCCTGGCTGGCCTTGAACTCACAATGATGTGCCAGCCTCTGCCTCCTGAATGCTAGGACTCAATGAGTGTGCCATGGTGCCCGGCTGTTTTCTTTCCTTCCTCCTTCCCTCTCTCTCTCTCCCTCCCTTCCTTCCTTTCTGTTGTTATTTAGATACAGTCTCATGATCTAGACCAGGTAAGCTTGAATTCATCTTTGATATCAGTCTCCCAAGTGCTAGGATTTTCCCATATCTTTTTCTTCTTGTTAACTTCTGAGAGTTCTCTGAACATTGTGGACCCAGCCCGTCGTCATCAGGTAACTGTTTCAAGCACACTTTCTCTGCCATTTTTCTTTTATTCTTTTAAAGAGCTCTTCAAAAAAGTGGAGCTTTTTCTTTTTTCTTTTTTAAAGGGTTATCTATTTGTGTGCATGAGTACTTTGTCTGCATGTAGGCCTGCGTACCAGAAGAGGGTGTCAGATCCCTTTGTGGATGGTTGTGAGCTGCCATGTGGTGCTGGGAATGGAATCCAGGTTCTCTGGAAGAGCTGCTGGTGTTCTTAACCCTGAGCCATCTCTCCAGCCCCTGAGAAGTAGAACTTTCTCGTCCATCACTTCTCTCTCTTGAGCACTGTGCTTTTCCCAACCCCAGATGACCCAGGTCTTCCAATGTATTTGGAGGAGGTTGGCAGCTTTGTGCACTACAAACAGGTCCCTTCTCTCTTCCTTTCCTTTCTAACAAATTGGATGTAAAGGAGTTTTGTCATTTTTCCACCAAAGTTTTACCCTGTCTGGATTTGCGTGTGTGTGCTCAGGTGCATGGAGGCCTCCTTTTATTTTAGAGCTGGACACGGCTCAGTAATTAAGAGCACACAGTGACCTTGCAGAGGACCCGAGCTTAGTTCCCAGAACCCACATCAGGCAGCTCACAGCTGTCTATCACTCTATCTGATAGATACCCCCAGCCGGCCTCCATGGCCACCTGCACTGATATACACACATACATGTGCACATAAGAAAAATAAAATGCTTTAAGTTTTCATGTGTGTACTTGTATGTCTGTGGGCACGTGAGCGCAGCTGCTCATCCAGGCCAGATGAGGCATTCTATACTCTGGAGCTGGACTTACACATGCCCAGTGTGGGTGCTGGGAAATGAACTCAGGTCCTCTGGAAGAGCAGCAAGCGCTCTTAGCCCTGGAGCCTCTCTTGTGTTTTGCTCTCCCTCTCACTTCACTGACTGACTCTCTTTGGGATTGAACTCAGACCCTTGCTCTTGCTAGGCAAGGGCTCTGCCAGAGCCCTGCCTGTCTTCCATCTTTTAGTTTTGTTTTGCTTTTCTCCAGGCAGGGTCTCTCGATGTAGTCCTGGCCTCCCTGGAACTCTCTCTGTAGACCAGGCTGGCCTCAAACTCACAGACATCCACCTACCTCTGCCTCCTAAGTGCTGGGATTAAAGGTGTGCCCACCACCGCCCAGCTATCTTTTAAGTTTATAAAACGCTCCTTAGACTTACATTTACCTATTACTTATTTTGTCTGTGTGTGTGACTGTGTATGTGTGTGCTGTGTGCACATGTATAGGGGGTGTGTACCTGTCCACATGCACAGAAACCAGAGAAGGACAATAGGTGTCCTCCTCTGTCACGCGCCATCTTATTTTTTGACATAGATACTAACATTGATCCTGGAGCTACAGTGGCACCAGCAAGCCTCTTTTCCCGCTTCTGCCCTCAGGGCCAGGGGTATGTTGAAGTCTTTACAGAGTGCTAAGGATTTGAACTCAGGTCCTCATACCTGGGCGGCAAGCACTTTTATCTGCTGAGCCATCTCCCAGCTTGAAGGGTAGGGCTGGGTAGTAGTCCATTGTGGGGCCTGGTCCTGCTTTGGCTGTTTAGGTTGTTTTTGTACTTTGGCTGTTTGGACAGATACTGCAGTGTAGAATAGGGACCAGCATTTCCATGGGATCTAGATTGCAGCTTCGGGATAAGTGCCCAGTAAGACAGCTGGGTCCATTTTAGAAAAAAAGAACAACTATTTTTATTTTGTGTGTGGGTGTTTTGCCTACATGTATGTCTGTGTACAATACACATGCAGTGCTCACATAGGCCAGAAGAGGGGGTAACATCCCTGGAACTGGAGTTAGAAATGGTTATGAGTTACCCACCAAGGGGTGGGTGCTGGGAATTGAACCCGGATCCCCTGGAAGAGCAGCCACTATTGGTGCCTGCTGAGTCATCTCTTTAGCCCCTGGACTCATTTGTTCAGAAAATTCTAGGTGGCTTAGTGTGGTGGTACCTCGCCCCAGAGGCAGGCCTGGTGGCTCTCCCAGCCAGCCTCGACTAAGTAAAAAAGAAATATCATTTAGCTGAATGCTGAGCTGTTTACAAGCCCCTTGACAAGGGTTCCAGTTTCTGGCTACACTTGATACTTTCTATCTATATGTGATTTTTGTTTTTCATAACAGTCTTCTGTTATTAGGTATAAGGTTGTGTTACTGTTCCCTTCCTTCCATACTGACAAGCCAGGGGCTCTACCGCAGAGCCATCCTCACTGGGGGAATCTAGACTCTACTACTGAGCATACCTCTGGCCCTCATCTTAAAAATATTTCTGAGGTTATGTGTATTTGTGTGTGTGTGTGTGTGTGTGTGTGTGTGTGTGTGTGTGTGTGTATGCACACACATCCCATTGCGTAAGTCAGAGAACTTTGTAAGTTGGATCTCTCCTCCTGCCATGCAGGTCTTGGGTCTAGAACTCAGGTCTTCAGGCTTGGCGGCAAGTGCCCTTACCCACCGAGTCACTTACCAGCTCATCATTACTAATTTATATGTGTGTGCACTCACGTTGTGCATTTGACCACAGATGCCAGAGAGGAGATTGATCTGAATTACGGCAGGTTTCGAGTTACTCACTGTCTGTGCTGGGAACTGAACTCAGTTCTGTAGATAGAGCAGCAAATGCTCTTAGCTGCTAAGCCATCCCTCAAACTCCCTCTGTTGACTTTTTATCTTGAGATGGGGTCACACTAGGTTTCCCAGATTAGCTTTGAACTCATTCTGTGGCGTAAACCCTGAGCCTGCGATCCCTCTGCTTCGGCGCACAGGCTTTGGACATGAAGCTTAGTGTCTATAGTGGTTAAGGTGCTTCCTTTTTTTCTGTTAAGCAAAAGCCAAGGCTGGGCTGAGGGCAGGGGCTGAACCATCAGGGTCAGCACTGGAAAACCGGAGAACCACGGGTGTCCCTCAGCACCGCCCACAGGAAGCCATCCTCACTAGAAAACAATAGCAACCACTGGGCAGGGCATGGATGGAACTGCTGACCGAGGTCCGGTCTTCTGCCGCTGAGCCAATGGGGCCCCAGGTCTTCCCAGCTGCCAGGGAGGCCCCTCTTTCGGGGAAGCTGCCTGGCTTCCTCTTCCTAAGAAATCATCAGCTTATTTTCTGCTGAGAACCTGCAGCTGAGGACCTAAACTGGTCCACCCCGGATGGAGGAACCGCCTCTGCCCAGCACAGCCCCGCGGGGTCCTCAGATCCCCATGGTCTTGTACTTCGTTTAGGGTTTATTGCTGTTGATTCAGGTCTTGTGTAGCCCAGGCTGGCCTCAAACTTCTTATGTAGCCAAAGATGACCTTGAACTTCTGGTCCCCTGACCTCTACCCCTTGGAGGGCTGAGATCACAGGTGCGTCCCACAGGTGACTGAACCCAGGGCTGTATGAATGTCAGATAAGCACTCTGCCAAGCGAGCCACATCCCAGCCGCAACTGATTTATTTATTCTTCACGCGTTTCTTTTCTTTTCTTTTCTTTTCTTTTTTTGAGGCAGCGTTTCTCTATGTAGCCTTGGCTATCCTGGTACTTGCTATGTAGATCAGGCTGGTCTGGTACCCACAGAGATCCACTTGTGACAGTGTCCAGCTCATTTGGAACTCATGGCTTTCCTGTTTTAGCTCCTGCAGCATTACTGGTGTGGCGTGCACTGTCACACTCCCCTAGGACAGTCGCATCATCAGTGTGCTCCCAGGCCATAGCACTAGAGGATGTGCAGATAGGGCCGGGGCTCAATTAGGTCAGTGCTTGCCTAACATGCTTGAAGCGCTGGGCTCCATCCCCAGCACTCCATAAACTAGGCATGGTGGCCCGTGTGCCCACCTCTCTTAGCACTTAGGAAGTGGAGGAAGGAAGATCAAGAATTCAAAGTCATCCTTCCTTGTCTGTATAGCAAGTTCAAGGCCGGTCTGGGCTACAGTGAAACTCAGTTTCAAAAGAAACAAACGTGCCTGGGGAGATGCTTGGTTTGGTGAGCATGGCTGGGTTCGGCGGAGCACCCTTGCAGGGGCTGGGTTTACTGCTGAATGTCTGTACCTGCTGTATCGTGGAATAAATAAGGATGGGGAAACAGGCTGATGGATGTTTATTCAGGGAGAAACACTGCTGAGATCATAGAGCCTCACTGGCAGCCAAAGGGGGACCCCAGGTTTAGTGTGTGTGTGTGTGTGTGTGTGTGTGTGAGAGAGAGAGAGAGAGAGAGAGAGAGAGAGAGAGAGAGAGAGGGAGGGAGGGAGAGAGGGAGGGAGGGAGGGAGAGGGAAGGAGGTGGCTAGGTGGTGATGAAGAGCACTGGCTATTCTTTCAGCAGGCCTGGCTTTGATTCCCGGCACCCACATGGTGGCTCACAGCCATCTGTCACTCCAGTTCCAGGGGATCCGGTGTCTGATGCCTTCATGAGCACTGCATGCATGTGCTGCACAGAGACACATGCCAAAAACCACTCTTACACATAGAGCGAAACAGAAATGGAAAAAGGCCGAGAGCAGTAGAGGCAGACACTGCTATGGGCCTCTGGCCTTGACACACGCGCACGCACACACACACTCACACACACCACACACTCCACACACACACACACTCACACACACACTCACACACCCCACACTCACACACACACACTCACACACACACTCACCACACACACACCACACACACTCACACACACACTCACACACACACTCACACACACACACTCTCTCACACACACACACTCACCACACACTCACCACACACTCCACACACACACTCACACACACCCCACACTCACACACACTCACACACACACCCCACACTCACACACACACTCACCACACACTCACACTCTCACACACCCCACACTCACACACACACACTCACACACACACCCCACACTCACACACACACTCACCACACACTCACACTCACACACACTCACACTCACACACACTCACACACACACTCACACACACACTCACACACACTCACACACACCCCACACTCACACTCACACACACTCACACACACACCCCACACTCACACACTCACACACTCCACACACACACACTCACACACACACTCACACACACACACACTCACACACTCACACTCTCACACACCCCACACTCACACTCACACACACACTCACACACACTCACACACACACACCCCACACTCCACACACACACACACTCACACACCCCACACTCACACACACACACTCACACACACTCACACACTCACACACCCCACACACTCACACACACTGACACACACTCACACACACCCCACACTCACACACTCACACACACCACACACACACCAGCGCAGGGGTGTTTTGGCGGGGTCAGCAGGGGACCTTCTAAGGTGGCAGGGTCGGGTGTCTGTCACTCTGGGAAACCCACTGGGTCAGCACAGTGCTGACATGGGGAAGGGGGTGTCTGTCCATCCCCAGCTTCACACTGAGCCTTAGACAGGGTCCCAGCCTAACAGCTGGCCCATCCCGTGTGTCCCCACAGAGCCACCCTCCATGCGCCTGAAGGCCCGCCCTAGCAACTCCGGCTCCTCCATACTCTCCTGCGCTGCTTTCTCCTTCTACCCACCTGAGCTGAAGCTACGGTTCCTGCGGAGTGGGCTGGCCGCAGGCCCTGGGAACTGCAGCGTGGGCCCCAACGGGGATGGCTCTTTCCACGCCTTGTCACTGCTGGAGGTCAAAACAGGGGACGAGCGCCATTACCAGTGCCAGGTGGAACACACGGGGTTGCTGCAGCCTCTCACTGTGGGCCTAGGTGAGGCGGTCCCTCCAGCCTCCCGCTTCTCCTGGCACTGCCTCTATTAACCCTGTGGCCGGTCCTGCTGAATCCGACCATCTTCTGTCTTGCTGTTGCTGGTCTTCATAGCTCCTGACCACACACTGTGCCACTGAGAGGCCTTGCTGCCGCGTGCGGCTGGCCCCCGTCTGCTTTGGTACCTCTCTCCTTCTCAGTTGGCTTTGTCCGTGCAGTATGGCTATTGTTCTTTAAAAAATATTATAGCTGGGCGGTGGTGGTCGCATGCCCATGTAATTCCGGCATATGCATATATATTTAATTTCCCTACATTCTTTACATGGGAGGGGGGAGGAGAGGGGTGCTTGTGCCGTGGCAACCTTGTGGAGATTATAGGACAACTTGTGGGAATTAGTTTTCTCCTGCCACCATGTCAAGCATGGGGATCAAGCTGCGGTCATCAGGCTCTATGGCAAAGGCTAATGCCTTGGCTCACTGAGCATCTTGCCAGCCTAGATTTCTATTTTAGAGGGTCAGGGTCAGGTCTCCTGGCACTGGATATGGTACTGGGCACTGAACTCTGATCCTCTGGAAGAGCAGCCAGCTGGGCCACTTCTCCAGCCCTTGTCTGCACACCCCACCTTCACTGGGGGGGTGGGGACTCCTTGGCTACTTTCTTCCCTGTCCTCATAACGCTTTCTGGCTGCAGATGCACCAGCCAAATCGTCTGTGCCTGTGGTCGGGATCATTCTGGGTTTCTTGGTGGTCATAGTGGCTGCTGCAGGGGGTGTGCTGCTGTGGAACAGGATGCACAGCGGGCTGCCAGGTGTGTGCAGGGGGGAGGCAGGGCGGGGGGCAGTGGAGGGGAAGCAGGGACCCAGAGAGGAAAAGGGGAGGGAGGGTCAGACAGGCCCTGACCACCTGGGAGAAAGAGCTGGGGTCAGGGACCAGAGTGGCCCTCATGGTGTGTGGGGCGGTGAGACCTTGGTTACAGATGCTGACCTCTGTTCCTCTCTCTTAGCCCCATGGCTTTCCCTCAGCGGCGATGACTCAGGTGACCTGCTGCCCGGGGGTAACTTGCCCCCTGAGGCTGACCCTCAGAGTGCAAATGCCCTTCCAGCCATTTCCTGATGCCAACTCAGGCCGCTGGTGCTGTGTGACCCCTGAACTCCTGGCATCTCTGAGCCTCCTGAGGGAGCCCTGGGCTGGATGACTCCCCTGTGGACCCCTCCTTTTGTGGCCTGCCTCAGTTTTCCTCCTAATGTACATGGCTCTTTTACGTCTCCACATAAATTTGAGCCCAAGTTTGTGTGTGCGCTGTTGTTGTCAAGCTTCGGGATACCTGAACGAGTCTGGGAAAGAGCCCAGAATCCTCCGGGTTGCTGTGGTAGCGACTGCCCATTTATACACCGAGATGTGTATTTTTAGTCAAAATGTATGAGATGCATACCTACACTGTGCCAGGCAATTCAAGGAATTCAGCTCTACCTGCTCCTGCCTCCCAAGTGTTGGAATTAAAGGCATAAGCCACCAAGCCCTCCCTCCTCCTTTTCTTAAACCAATCTGAGAAATAGAAAAGTAATTTAAAAAAAAAATACATTTCCCCTAATTCTCTGGGGCCAGAGCCTCTGGAGGTGGCAGTGAAGGTTGCCCATAAGCCTGCTGGGAGTCGTAGTTCGAAACTGCCTTCTCGCCTACTACGCCTTCCAGGCTCGCGCTCGGCCTTGTGGACGTGGCGAAGGGCTCCGGGCACACTCTTGGAGCTCATTGGCTCCGCCCCTGCGGCCCTCCTGCGCCGCTATTGGTCAGAGGGCGGGGACCTCTGGGCTGCCAGGGGCGGAGCTTGGCTGGCGCCGCGCCAGGTTGGGCATCTTTGCGCGAAAACGAGTTCATCGTGGGGCGCGACCCCAGGCCTGGTAATGGGAGTAAGGGTGGGGAGCTAGGCCGGGAGGGGGTTTCGGGTGAGGGTGGGGGTCAAGGCTGGCGGCCACACAGAGGACCCTGCATGATGCTTTCAGCCTTCACCATCCCTGATCTTTGCATGGAGCGTGCCACGTCTCCAACCGAAATACCCCTTTTCTCCTCTGAGGCTCGGGTTATACCCCATAGTTGGTTTTACCCTCAAACTCTCTATTCTTTTTGGCGATTTTTCTTCATGCCCAAACTTTGTAGCCTGCTTATATCCATGCCTTAGGCAACCCCCTAACTTTGAAGTTCTCTCCACATTCTTTCTGGTTCGAACTTTTCCCCATGTGGTCCTCTGATCCCTGCTCCTCACTTCTCCCCAAGGACCGATGATGTGGCGATGGTCGCTTCTGTTGCTTCTCTTGCTGCTGAGGTGGTGGGCCCTAGGGAAGCCATCCCCTGACGCCGGACCTCATGGCCAGGGTAGGGTGCATCAGGGAGCTCCCCTGAGCGAGGCCCCCCACGATGACGCCCACGGGAATTTCCAGTACGACCACGAGGCGTTCCTGGGACGAGACGTGGCCAAGGAATTTGACCAACTCAGCCCAGAGGAAAGCCAGGCCCGACTCGGGTAGGATGTGTGAGCTGGGCAGAGGTGGGGAGGGGGTTTGAACTCACTGAAAAGGTCAGAGGCAGGGGACGGGACAGAACTGTGATACTCACCTCCTGGGAAAAGGCAGAGTTAAACCCGAGGCTGTGGGGACCTGTGCCACCAACACCCCTCTGTCCCAGTCCACTCTGTGTCTGCCTGGACTTTCCTGCTCTGTCTTAGCTTCTAAACCGCTCACCAACTCTTAACAGAGACTAAGAAATAAAAATGAGAAAGAGCCCAAGCTCAGAATTCAGGTTTAACTGGGAGGGATGGAGTCCGTCACTCCAGCTGGAGGAGATCGCCGTATTTCTGTGTGGAGGACACAGTTAGCTTGGCCCTGGAGACAGGAAGGCCACTCCGTGCATGCGTGTTTAAAATTACCGTCATTTTTATTACTTTGAGATAGAAACTCACTGTGTAGCACTGCCTGGCCTGGGACTCATATGCAGACTGGTCTAGAATGCACATCCGCCTGCTTCTGCGCCCTGAGTGCTGGGGTTAAAGGTGTGTGCCACCACGCCCGGCTATCCGGTTGTCACTTTAAACTGGGCAAGCAGGGCTGAGCTGGAGAGGAAGGACCCAAAATTGATCTGCCCATTCAGAAAGTGGGCAGAGCTTGAGTCCACAGGCATGCTGACCCTGACAGAGGGGCAGGCCCTGTGGAGTGTCAAGGTTAATAGAGACTAGGGTGAAGTTAAGGCTCACTGTTCCCTCTTCAACTCAATCCACCTAGGGTTGAGGTCTGTGCAGAGCTTTGGGGCGGGGCTAGGGGAGAGGTGTGGCCTTGGTTTGAGCCACACCTGTAGAGGAAGGGCTAGGCGAAGAGGGCCGGCGTTTGGATGGGCTGGGTGCTGAGATTAAATGTGTGTCTCAGTTCATCTGGTCGCCTTTCCAGTTGTGCATGGCAGCGTCTCTGAGAAACGGAGTCAGGGCTGCCAAAGACCTGGGGTGGGTATCAGTGACAATGCTCCTGCAGGTCCTGGCTGGAGCAGTCTTAATCCCAGCACTCGGGAGGCAGAGGCAGGCGGATCTCTGTGAGTTCAGGACCAGCCTGGCTACAGAGCCAGTTCCAGGACAGCCAGAGCTACACAGAGAAACCCTGTCTTGAGAAACAAAAAACAAACAAAATTTCTTTTTCTTTTGTTGTTGTTGGTTTTTGTTTTTGTTTTTTTTCCTGGCTGTCCTGGAGACTAGGCTGGCCTCCAACTCACAGATTCTCCTGCTGGAATTAAAGGCGTGCATTACCACACCCCACCCTTTTTATTTATTTTAAAAAGGATTTATTTATATTAGTGTATGACTGTGGGTATTTTTCCTGCGTGTACGTGTACCATGCACGTTGCTGGTGCTCACAGAGGCCAGAAGAGGGTGACGGAAGTGGAAGTTACAGATGCTTGTGACCTGCCCCGTGAGGTCCATGGGACTCGAACCCCAGGCCTACGAGAGCAGCCAGAGCTCTTAACAACCGAACCATTACGCAAGTCCCCATTTTTTGTCGTGTGTAGGTACAAGCATGTCTCTGCACGAAAGGAAGGGGCCTGGGAGGATCAAGACTGAGATTGACTGCGTCTCTGCTCTACGGTTGAGGCTTCTTTGGGCAGGGCCGGGGGATGACCTTTGTCCCCTTGCAGGCGGATTGTGGACCGCATGGATCTCGCTGGAGACAGCGACGGCTGGGTGTCCTTAGCCGAGCTCCGCGCGTGGATCGCTCACACGCAGCAGCGGCACATCCGTGACTCGGTGAGCGCTGCCTGGTTCACCTACGACATGGACCGCGACGGGCGCGTGGCTTGGGAGGAGTTGCGCAACGCCACGTATGGCCACTATGAGCCGGGTATGCCCACCTCACCTTTGCCCTTTGACCTCTCTTTTAGAACTTTATCACTGATACATCTCCTCCCTTTCTGATCTCACTTGCTCTTCCTTCTGAGAGCCATTCTATGTGGCAAGCTGCCTGGATGCTTCACACCCCTCATCCGGACACTTACGTCTGTGCGCTCTTGTCCAGATCCCATCTCTGTTTCTTTTTGAGACAGTCTCTCTCTGCAGCTCTGGTGTCTTAGGGTCGGGGCACTATTGGTCGGGTCATGACCAGAAGCAAGTTGGAGAGGAACATCCATAGTCGATCACGGAAGGAAATCAGGGGAGGAACTCAAGTAGGGCAGGAGCCTGGAGGCAGAAGCTGATGCAGAGGGTACTGCTTCCTGGCTTGTCCCTGTGGCTTGTTCAGTCCACTTTTTTCTTTCCTTCTTTCTTTTTTGTTTTATTTTCCCAGACAGGCCTCACCTCTGTAACCATGCATCTCACCCACCTCTGTCCTTCCCAGGGGAGGAATTTCATGATGTGGAGGATGCTGAGACCTACAAGAAGATGCTGGCTCGGGATGAGCGGCGATTCCGGGTGGCCGACCAGGATGGGGACTCCATGGCTACCCGGGAAGAGCTGACAGCCTACCTGCATCCCGAGGAGTTCCCTCACATGCGGGACATCGTGGTTGCTGTGAGAAAGATTGCACAAAGCCTGCTTCCAGAACCTGTCCTGGGTCCCCATATCTTCCCCAGGGATCCCAGGCCCCCTACATAGATGTGGGGACAGCAGCTTCGCCCCTGTCCACCCCATATCTGGTGCCTAGTATCTCCTGTTAGACCTCCTTGTATGCTTATTGCTTATTGGGTGTCCAGTCTTGGCCTGTGCCCAGACAGCCACATCTTCAGAAGAGCCTCAAGTGAACCCCAATTGTGTCTGCACCCCAGGAAAACAGTTTATTCGACATGCACTTATAACACCCTGTAATGTAAATATATCTCAGATACCAGGGGTAGAACAGGAAAGAACGTTTTGTGCGCAGGTGCTGTGTAGGCTCGAAGACTTGGAGTTACATACAGATGGTTCTAAGCTGCCCACTGTGATGCTGGCAACGGAACCCAGGTCCTCTGTAGGACAGCCAGTGCTTGTTTTGTTTTTTGAGACAGGGTTTCTCTGCGTTGCCCTGGATAGCCTGGAACTCACTTTGTTGACTAGGCTGGCCTCGATGAACTCAGAGATGCACCTGTGCTGGGATTAAAGGCGTGTGACACCACACCTGGCTGGGCCTGGGTTTATAAGTGTGTACCATCACACTTATTTGGATTTTGAGTAATCCAGCTCAGGCCTTCAATTTTGTATGGCATTGCAGTTTCCTAATTACACTCTTTCTGGACCCTGAAGTTGTTTGTAGTGCAGTTGCTAGAACCCAGGGTCGTGAATATGCTAATCAAACCCTGTACTTCTGAGCCACGTGCCCAGGCCTTCCCTGGGGGATTCTGGGTAGGGGCTTTACTGCTGAGCCACACCCTCATCTTCTACGGAATGAGTTTAAATGTATAGTGGGGAACAGGCCTGGTGGTGGCAGCGCACACCTTTAATCCCCGGACCTGGGAGGCAGAGGGAGGCGACCTCTGAGTTCGAGGCCAGCCTGGTCTACAAAGCTACACAGAGAAGTCCTGTTTTAAAAGAACAAAAAACAAACAAAAAAAAAAAAAAAAAAAAAAAAAAATGGGGAACAGAAACCAGAAACCATTGTTTTGTTTTGTTTTTTGTTTTTTCCAGGCAAGGTTTCTCCGTATAACAGTTCTTGGAACTCACTCTGTAGACCAGGCTGCCTCTGCCTCCCGAGTGCCAGGCCCAGAAATGATTTTTTAAATTAGGACAGATAACATGGAGAGTAGGCGTGATGACTATATGTGTCAAAAAATGATCATGGAGAAGATGGTGTAAAGGCTAAGAGCCCTTGCTCTTCTTGTAGAAGACCGGTGTTTGTTCCTAGCACCATTCTCTGTAACTCCAGCTCTGCACGGTGCGATGACCTTTTGGCCGTCGGGGCCATTGCATGTACATGGAATACCCATACATATGAAAATTTTAAAACTGAGTCAGGAATGGTGGCGCATGTCTTTAACTCCAACGCTCAGGAGGCGGGGTTCAAAGCCAGCCTGGTCTACAAAGTGAGTTTGGCCAGCCAGAGCTACACAGTGAGAGAACCTGTCTCATAAAACAAGACAAACAAAGCTGGGCGGGGTTGGACACAAAGGTTTCCTGGCTGCCTTCCTCTGGACACGGTGCATCCCTTTCACCTCCCAATGTCCCAGCTCTCCTGCTCCCTGCGGAGATGATTGCTCAGATGCAGGCACACTGACCCTTCATCCCAATGCCGTTCCCTAGGAAACCCTGGAGGACCTTGACAAGAACAAAGATGGCTATGTCCAGGTGGAGGAGTACATCGGTAAGCAAGGCCTGTTCCCACCCGGCGCCTGTCGCCTCCTGGCGCCAAGGAGAACCGTGGTCCAGGTGATACTCTGCTTGTCTCCAACCCATTAAGTGCAGAGCCTAATTCATGCCTGGCCCAGGGAGCATTCAGTGGGCTCCCGTGCAGAGAGCCTCAGTGACTAAGGCTCTTTTGGGGACAACCAGGGCTTTCCACAAAGTGGTGGCTCAGGGCCTTTGATGTGTTGAGACAAGGTTTGTCTGTGTAAAAAACACACCGCGTCTCCGGTTGTCCTGTTCGGGGCTCTTTGAAGTGTTTCAACCTGCACACTACCCTGTCCCCATGGCAGCCATGCCCTAGGCCTCAACCTGCATTCCTCCAACAGTGTTACCGAGGTAAACTTCGGTTTGTTGGCTTTCTTTATTTTCTTCCAGGGGTTGGTGGTGATGGTTCTTGTTGCTTTATTTAGTCTCTCTCTTCCTCTCTCCTTCCCTCTCACCCTCTGTCTCTCCCTCTCTTCCTCTCTCTCTCCTCTCTCTCTCTCTCTTTCTCCCTCTCTCTCTCCCTCTCTCTCTCCCTCTCTCTCTCTCCTCTCTCTCTCTCCCTCTCTCTCTCTCCCTCTCTCCCTCTCCTCCTCTGCCCCCATCCCTCCCCCCCGTCTATCTCTCTATCCATCTGTTTTGAGATAGGGTCCTCTGTAACTCAGGCTGGCCTTGAACTTGCGGTGAAGCGAAGACTCCTGTCCCTGTACCTCCGCCGCCTTCACAGGAGGACAGGCGAGCACAGCCATGTCCTGTGTGTGCAGTTCTGGGGCCAGAACCAAGGGTGCTGTGCTTGCTAAACAGGCACTCTGTCACCTGAGCCATGTCTTCAGCCCTCATGCACGGAGGGTTTGAGTTTGAAAGGTTTGCATATGAAATGCTTTAAGCAACCAATATGCAAGAAGACATTTTTTACTTAAACATTATGTACTTATCACATTTGTAAGGAGTGGATGCTTTATTTTTCCTGTTTTTCTTTCTAAATCTTTTCAGATAACCTGTTTTATCTCCCAAACAAATCTGACAGGTAGAAGATGTAGGATTAGGGGTCTGTGGCCTGTGGGTGTGGGTGTGGGGGGGTAGAGGAAAGGCATCAAGGGAGATGGCTCTTGGGATGCAGGATGAAGGGCTCCCAGTCTCCAGGACTGCCCCGACCTCATCTGCCCTACTCTATACCCATCCTGGCAGCCGACCTGTACTCTGAGGAGCCCGGCGAGGAGGAGCCTGCCTGGGTACAGACCGAGCGGCAGCAGTTCCGGGACTTCCGGGATCTGAACAAGGACGGACGGTTGGATAGCAGTGAAGTGGGTTACTGGGTGCTGCCCCCATCCCAGGACCAGCCCCTGGTGGAGGCCAACCACCTACTGCACGAAAGTGACACAGACAAGGTGAGCTCGGGCCACCGCAGGAACGCAGGCGGGTCCTGAAACGGGAAAATCCAGAGAGACCCGGAGGGGGTTAAAGAGGGACCCGAGGGAGGGGAGGGAGGCAGAGCAGAGCAGAGCGGGCCCTGGGGTGTTGTCCTGTGCGGACCCAGCCTCCTGCTGAACCCTTTGCCCTCAGGATGGCCGCCTGAGCAAAGCTGAGATCCTAAGCAACTGGAACATGTTTGTGGGCAGCCAGGCCACCAATTACGGTGAAGATCTGACAAGGCACCATGATGAACTGTGACCTGTGACCCCATGACTCCATGGGGGCACCTGAGGAGCCACTGCAGACAGCCCCTCCCCCCAGGGCACAGACTCAGCTGTGGTGACCCTGGGTCTTGGGCTCTCAGGGGACCCACTCAGTCACCTTCTCCCCTGAGGCCCCTGCCGCCCACCCTGGGCCTCCAACCTGCCCAGGATTCTCAAGCACACACGTGGCACCCATTGTTACCATCCTCCGGCACAGGCCCGGCCCACATCCTGGCTCAACCCCAATCCGAGCCTCCATCACACAGGCTGTGTGTACTGCCCACTGCCTGGGAACAATAAAAGCCATTGCTGGGGTCCTCGGGTGTGGCTGTCTCTCTGGGGGTGGGGGTGAAGGGTGCTGTGACCCTTCACAGAGGAGCATGCTGGGAACTAGATGGCTGCTGAGGCCTGCATTTCTCAACCTATGGGTCTCGACCCTTTCACAGGGGCCAAATATTAGATATCCTGCATGTCATATTTATGTTATGATATACTAGCAAAATTACAGTTATGAAGTACAAGCAAAAATAACTATGGTTGCCGGTCACTCCAACATGAGCAACTGTTCTAAAGGGTTGCAGCATCAGGAAGGTTGAGAGCCACTGGTCTAGGGCATTTGGACATGGGATATGGGTGTCAGTGGAAATTTGAGGGCGTTCCCATAGACGGAGAATAAAGCCTGAGGCCACAGAGGAAAGCCATGCAGGAAGTCCTGCCCTTTAAGAGCTGCCGAGTGGTGGGGAACTCAAAACCACAGTGAGAGAAACAAGCTCAGTTCTCAGTGAGATCAGGGAGGTGCCCTGTGAAGGTGCATAGTGTGAGCTGTGTCTGTGAGACGCCCTGTGAGGATGCTTAGTGTGAGCTGTGTCTGTGAGATGCCCTGTGAAGATGCTTAGTGTGAGCTGTGTCTGTGAGATGCCCTGTGAAGACGGATAGTGTTAGCTGTGTCTGTGAGATGCCCTGTGAAGGTGCATAGTGTGAACTAGCTGTGTTCTGATAATGGAGAAGTCAGGAATGAGCATAAGGTGGAGAGGACCTGGTGTCAGCTGCAGTGAGTTAAACAGAGAGAGTGATACATGCTTGTAATACCAGCACTCCAGAGTCTGGGGCAGGAGGATTGCTGGGAGATCCTATTGAAGAAGGAAAAAAAAAAAAAAAAAAAAAGAAAGAAAGAAAGAAAGGAAAAGAAAAAGATTGGCGGGAGGAATGGAAAGGGGAAATAATGTAATATATTTTAATTTGAAGGTGGTGCACACCTTCAATCCCAGTACTCGGAAGGCAGAGGCAGGCGGATCTCTGTGAGTTTGAGGCCAGCCAGGGCTACTGAACTAGTTCAGGACAGGCTCCAAAGAAATACAGAGAAACCTTGCCTCGAAAAACCAAAATAAATAAATAATAAAAAATAAAATCTAAAAACACAACAAAACAAACAAAAAATAAACACCAAAAGCCAAAGAACCCAGGGGAGCCAGTCCTGGTGGCGCACACCTCTAATCCCCGCTCTCCGGAGGCAAGGCAGGAGGATCTCTGTCTGAGGCCAGCCTGGTCTACAGAGCTAGTTCCTGTCTCAAAAAGCAAAACAAAAACTTGGGGAAGAAACGGTTTATTTCAGATCACAGATCATCACTGAGGGCAGTCAGGGCAGGAACCTAAAGGCAAGAACCGAGGCAGCCGTGGTAAAGGAACACGTCTCATGGCTTGTTCTGCCTGCATCCAGGGCGGATGCTCAGGGGTGGCCCCACCCACAATCAATCAAAATGCTTCACAAACTTGCCCACAGGCCAATGCTATGGAGGTTGTTTCTCAATTACAATTCTTCCTGGGGTTGGCAAGATGGCTGGGGGTTAAGAGTATTTGCTGCTCTTCCCAAAGGACCCAAAGGACCGGGGTTCAAACCAGCAACTATAGGGCAGCTTAGATCTGTTTATGTAATTCCAGTTCCAGGTTCTCTCCCTCTCTCTCTCTCTCTCTCTCACACACACACCAATGGATAATACATAAAAGATTATTTCTTCCCAAATGGCCCTCACTTGTGTCAAGTGGACACAGAACTAGCCCGCACATGGATGAAGGTACTTACTTAAGCCCAATTACCTGAGGCTGGACCCAGAAACTTTTTTATTTTTTAACTTTTCTTGTTTGTTTTTTTCTGGACAGGGTTCAATGTGTAGCCCTGGCTGTCCTGGAACTCTTTAGACAAGACTAGCCTTGAACTCAGATCCACCTGCCTCTGCCTCCTGAGTGCTGGGAAAAGGCGTGCACCACCACTATCTAGCCGATCCCAGAATTCTCAGTGAGGTCCATGCCAGTCAGTGTTTTCCTTTCTTGAGACATGGTTTCTCTGTGTAGCTCTGTAGACCAGGCTGGCCTAGAACTCACAGAGATCCACCTGCCTCTGCCTCCCAAGTGAGTGCTGGGATTAAAGGTGTGCGCCACCAAGGCCTGGCTACCAGTGCCTTCCTTAAAGACTCCAAACTGTAAAACATCCACATCCACGGCACTCATCTACAGAAAAGGTGGTAACAGCGCAAAGGGCTTCGACATACAGCCTGGATTAAGGGACCTCAGAGTCCCCAAGTGCGTGGTGGAGGCTTTGGCTCAGTCTATATATTCCAGGGCACCAGCAATTACTTAGCAAGGAACTGAATGGCTTGAGCGGCCCCTGCTGGCCAGTATTGGGAATGTGCCAGAAGCACCTTGGAGCTGGGAAGTCACATGCTCTTGGTCTGGGGCGCTGCTTCTCAGTGGGGTTCAGCGTGTGTGTGTGTGTGTGTGTGTGGCCAGCTGGGATTTTTGTGGTGGGATGCCTTACTCAGCCACGATGCAGGGAGGAGGGTCTTGGTCCTGCCTCAACTGAACTTAACCAGTTGAGCCTTACCCTTTCTGAGTACATGGGGGATGGGCTGGGGGGGAGGGGAAGGAGGGGAGGGAGGGGTAACTGCGGTTGGTATGTAAAGTTAATAACAATAATAATAAAAGAAAATTCAGCTGCCAGCAGGACATTTCAAAAGCAGTTTATCTTGTTTATTAAACTTCTGTGCACGTGCAGAAGCCCGGACATCCTGTGCCCTCTCTTCCCACTACACGGATTTCAGGGATCTGGAGGTTTTGTTGTTGTTAACTTTTAAAGTTAGCAAACAATGTAATGGGTTTTATTATGGCATTGAGTTGGGGATGCCAGGGTTAGCACCCAGGTTCTCTGCCTCTAAGGACATCCAAGTTCCTCCTGGGAGATTCCAGGCAGGGGCCACTGATCGCACTCCATCTGAGGTAGACAGTGTCTATTTTATTCTTCAGAAGTCTGTTTCCAGAAGGAAACTGTTTTTGTTTCCATTTAAAAATTACGTGACACGTTTGGCTTGCATGTCTATGCACCTCATGCGAGCAGCATCCTCTGGAGCCTGAAGGAATGGAATCCCCAGGCAGGAGTCACAGATGCTTGTGAGCTGCCCTGTGGGTGCTGGGAACAAAAGCTGCGTCCCCTAGCAGAGCCACCTCTCTGGCTCCCACATCCCCGTTTTCTAAGCTGACTTGATGCAACTCAGACTGTACCATCTGTCCTTTCTCCTGGATCTTAGTTGAGGCCTTTGGGCTTCTTGGAGTGAACCCCACGCAGCGCCCGGGGTTGAGTTGGGTTCAGCTAGAACTTAATGAACACAGTTGGGGTAACCCACCTCTCTCTCCCTTCCTTCCCAGCTGGCCTTGAATTTGAAGGAGTCCTCTTGCTTCAGACTCTGGAATTCTGGGGTGGCAGGTATGTGCTACCAGGCCTGGTTTGGATCTCCACTGGCATTTGGCAGTCACTCTTGGCCAGGCTTGACCCTATCCCAAGCTAAAAGCAGCGTATAGGAAAGTTTCCAGTTACTTTGCATTCCCAAGATTCCTGAGTGTGCTCTTCCTGGCCACTTTAGGATGTCTCTATTGTGTGTCCCCGTGAGAGCCAGAGGGCAACGCTGAGTCTTTTTGGACGCCTGTCTACACTGCTTGTAAAAGGTCTCTCGCTGAACCTGGGACAGGACAGTGTGGCTGGCCAGCAAGCCCCAGGGACCCAAACTCAGGTCCTGAGGCCTGTGCACTCTTAACAACTCAGGCACCTCCCTAGCCCAGCCCCTCTATTTCTAGCCAGTTATCTTTGCTTTGTTTCTGAAGTGCTGGAATTCCAATTCTGTTTTCAGACTTTCAATGGTGGTGGCATTCTGCCCTCTAGTGGTTACAATTGGACACAGATCTACTGGCCAACAGGCCCTCCGAATTATGGGGAGATTGGTTGACAGTATCTTATCAAAATAATACACAAGGCATCAAATTATGCACACAAAAACGATCGGATGTCCTGATGCACTCCGGTAATGTGAGATGTTGGCAGTGAAGGATCAAGATCACCGGTACACACCACCATGCCCACACCACCATGCTGGGAATACATTTTATTTTTAAATATTGGCAATGGACTTACAGGATATGAAATTATAAATACCCAAGATGCCACGTACTAAAAGCATCTTTTAACACATTCATCTCTTCACTGCACAGCCAGCGTATTTTCCCATCAAGAGTTTACCCGGATTTAAGAACTCAAACATGTTGTCTCTTACTTTGAGCCAGACTTTGTTTTTTCCACACAAGGTTTGTGTGGCCATGGTTGTCCACAGCTAGCTCTGTAAACCAGGCCTGCCTCTGCCTCCCAAGAGCTGAGAGTGAAGGTATGAGCCACTTTTATGTAGCACAGGCTAGGCTGGAACTTGGAGCAGCCAGCCTCCCGGGCGTGGGGTGAGAGCGAGGGCAGCCACTTCCTTGAAATGAGGTGCTTGGGGCCACACACGGCTCCGAGGTAAGAGCATTGCTGTCCTCTGCAGAGGACCTGAGTTTGGCTCCCAGCAACCAAACTAGACTTGTTTAAAGCTGCCTGTAACTCCGCTTGTGTAGGTATTGTACAAACCCCTCCCACAGACACACATAACCACATTTTGTTTTTTATACAGATAGGAATTCTTGAACGCTTGCCTAGTGTGCCCTTCCCAATACAAAAAGAAAAAGGAAGCCTTGCGTTTTGCTTGGAGCTGGGGTTGTGGTGGTCTGTGTTACTTCTGAACAAGTTGGGGGGGGGCGTGCAGAAAAGCTGGACACACTCAGGGGAGTTGGGATTCTTCTTTTTAGTTTTTTTGTGACAGGGTTTCTCTGTGTAGCCCCAGCTGTCCTGGAACTGTCTCTGTACACCAGACTGGCCTCAAACTCCCAAGTGCTGGGATTAAAGGTGTCGGGACTTTTGAGAGATGCTCTGCAGGGGAAGAGGTGAGGGCAGGACTATGTATGACAGTGTGACAGGTCTGCAGGGGACCCTAGGGGCACACGGCGGGCAGGTCCATGTCTAGGAGTCTCTTTGGATAGCAGGCCTGGGAGTGGGCTATGCCCTGAGCCCAGAGCCCTGCATTTCCTGGGCAGAGTGTCCTCTCCTAGATCCTCTGACTGAGGCTGGAGGAGACTAGATTGCCAGGCTCCTGTTGCCAGGGTTCCTGCACGGTCAAAAGTGACCGAGTCAGCTTCCAGGAGCTGAGGGCGGGTCTGGAGTGTTCCATACTGCCTACTGAAGCTCCTGCCTACAGTGAGGCTCCAGACACTCAGTCCATTCACAGACACGTTTATTACGTCAAGGCTCAGGCCTGCATCACAGGTCGGGACATTTCTGCCTGTAGCTTCACCCCTGAGCCTGCAAAACCGGTACCGCCCTAGAGAGGAGGAAAAAGAGCAAGCTGAAGGAGCCTGACGGGCTCGGCCCCAGCAAACAGTAGTGGCTCCTATGTGGGGTGGAAAAGATAAGTCACAGGGCAGGAGATGGGGGCCGGGGAGGCAGCAGAGACTGCACAGTGGGGCTTCTTTGACAAAGGGGGAGAAGTCTCAGGATGGAAGAGTGCACAGGAAAACGGGCGGAGCAGTACTGTGGTACTGTGGGGGAAGGGTGTGGAGGGGGCGGTACCGCGGGGGTCTGCAGTGCAGGCTAGGATGGGGGCTGGGCTGGGGTACTGGGAACTCACCCGCTGCAGCACGATGATGTCTCGCTCTGTCAATGTATCCCCGTTCACCGGGTCTACCATGTCCTTCCGGATCAGTTTCTCAACGCACTCCAGCGTGACCACGGCCCCGCTGCAGAGGCCACAGCACAGAGGTCAGCCCTGCGGCATCTTGGCGTCCCCCCAGGCTCCCCCCACCCCACCCCACCCCACCCCACCCCACCCCACCCCACTCACGAGGGACGCAGCACTGCACACGGCGTGGCGTTGCTCAGGCTGTCCCGGGTCACTGCACACACATAGCGTTCACTGCGTGTGATGAGCCCCACGCGGTCCACGGAGTCGTCCAGCTGCGTGAAGCGTACTGGCGTCAGGTCTGACATGCGCAGTGGCTTCCCAGACATGGGGCAGGTCACAGTGCGGGACTGTGGGAAGAGGCAGGGTCAGCAGGAGAGACGGGAGGTCACGGTCACCGTGTAAGGGGCATAAGGGGCAGGAGGCTGGGGCACTGGGGCTCACTGGTTTTTCCAGCTTGGTGGCCTTTGCCTCAGGGGTCAGTGAAGGAATCCAGAAGCTGGGCAGCGCCTTGTCCTTGCCTGGAGGGCCCGCACTGGGCCCTGGCTGCTCGCCATCTGTGGGAGGGAAGGAGAAGCTGGGGCACAGCACTCGGGGAGACCCTCCCTGCAGACCCCCGCCAAGGGCGGGCGGTTCCGTCACCTGTGTGGGGTAAGGGGGCAGCCTTGGGCATGAAGGGGTTGAGGGGCCGGCTCACGATGGCTGACTCCTTCTCCAGGAAGCCTCGAACTTGGTCCTGTGCTGCAGCTCTTTGAAGCTGCTTCTGCTCTTCCCTCCGGGCTCCTCGCTGCTTCTCGTAGGCCTGGGGAAGAGGTGCCTGGCTCAGCGGTGGCCAGGGAGCGCACGGGGCGCTGCGACACTGGCCACAGAGGGCTGCTCGGGGCTTCCTACTCACACAGTGTGGGGCCAACGCAAGCAAGGTGAGGCCGGGGCTCATGTAGCCCAGGCTGGCCACCTTCCACCAATCAAGTCATGTTCCACATGGGGTTATGCCTACTGGGGGTGGGGCCTAGGGCTTCATGCATACAAAGCAAGCGCTCCACAAACAGCCACAACTCCAGTCCCACCGTCTAGTCTAATCATTCGGATTAGAATCTGAGAGGCAAGCCAGATGGCCGCAGCCTGTCCTGCCACAGAGGGCTGGACGCGGGGTCCATACGCAGGCCAGTGTGCTTTGTCCTGTGACCAGAATACGTAAGGTGTGTCCCCCGCTCAGTCCTGCCAGGCACCCATCAGGTGTCAACAGTAAGCATGCCTGACTCCATGAAGGCCTCAACAGGGGCACCGTGATGAAGGCCGGCCTGGCCAGCCACTGGGCTGTGGGGAGGACACGGAGGCTGGGAGGCGGGTGCTAAGCACGCTGAGGCCGGAGGTGGCAAGCAGGCCGGTACTGCAAATGCCTGGGAGTCCCTGGGTCCCTGCCCTAGCTCCAAACGAAACCAAAACAGTGTGTCCTGAGCACCCCAGCGCCAGCCTGGGAAGGAGGGGGCAGACAGGGTGCCCACTCAGACACCCAGGACACCGGCCCTGCAGGGATGGGCCTGGGCGACAGCAGCACCGACAGAGATCTTATCCTGTCCCTCACTTGCTCTGTGGTGCCTCTGATGTCACCCTGGTAGCCATTATACACAAGAAGGCGGAGGCCGGGGAAGGTCTCCATTTACATCACGAGCCTCCGGCGAGCACTGAAAGCTCCTGCAGGGCGCAGGCCAGCACAAACGGCAGAGGGTGTGGAGGCTCCTACAGCCCGGTGAGCAGGGGGACCCCAGAGGCCCTGGCCTGAAGGAGGTCAGCACAGATGCTGCCGGGAAACATCTGGAGAGAAGCAGGAGTGGACGATGCTCCAGGCAGGGGCAGAATCAGTGAAGGCCCCTGGAGCAAAGGAGCTGGGATTAGAACCTGCCCCACAGTGCCCTTCGCAGCCCTCATCACCTTCATCTGCCGGGCAATCTCTTTCTTCTGGTGCAGGATGTACTCCAGGATCGCCTCCCGTTCATACAGGTAGCCATCTGGGCTGCAGACAGGGGGTGAGGGAAGCATGGGCCTGGGCTCCATCACATGATGGTGTCCACTGACTTCTCCATCCACTCCCCACCCTGGGTACCACCACACATGCTGAGGGGACATCGCCCACCCTACTCCTTCAGCCCATTTCTCCTTTTATTTTGGGACATGGTGTTCTGCAGCTCAGGTTAGCTCAGGTTAGCTTCAAACTGCTATGTAGCTGAGGCTTGCCTTGTCTGCATGCTCTGAGTGCTGGGGTAACCGGTGTGCACACCACACCTGGTTTTCTGTGGCGCTGGGACTGAGCCCAGAGCTAGCTGCAGGCTAGGAAAGCACTTTATCTGCTGAGCCCAGCCCCAGCTATTAGCACCTTCGGTGGTCAAGCAGCTGCCTGTCTCTGGAGAGCTGCAGCCCCGAGAGGTTAAGTGACTGCTAGACCCGCCCGCACCAGCTGCCCCGCTGCCCCTCCCCCACTCACGTCACCACAGGGTCATGACAGGGCTGCAGCGAGAGACAGCAGCAGTCAAAGTCTTTCACAGCATCGCGGCTCAGTCGAATGTTCTGGGTGCCATAGCCCGAGGCCGCTGGGGACAGAGAAAGGTGGCGATGGATGGGGACGTGCCTTTCACCAAATGCCCAAGGGAATGTGGGGTTGAGCGGACCCTGAGGAAGACACGGCTAGGTGGCCTCACTCCCCACGGCAGGGTGGGGAGGCTCAAGGCTGGCTCCCCTCTCCTGGGGTGGGAACCACTGTGACACTCAGTGGCCCTTTCTGCGAAGGTGGTGTCTGGGCATGGCTGGGAGGAGAGGGGACCTAAGTAGGATGGTATGTACTAGCTGAGCCTCAAGGGCCACCATCCTTAGAGGACAGGAGGCAAAAGAGGCCACTGGCGGGGAAAAGAGCAGGGATGGAGCAGCCCCAGGGCGCACCTGTGTCCTTTTTCTTCTCATGGTAGGTGTAGACAGCTCCCGCTGTACAGTTCTTCCCATGCCGGGTCATCCTGTAGAGGGAAGGGGCGGGGGCGGGCTGCGGTGACCCCAGCGACAACTACCGCAGCCCGCAGCCCGCAGCCGGCCCCCGGAGCCCGTTCAAGCAGCCTGCCACAGCCTCCGGCCACAGCGCCCTGTCTGCCGCGGGGAGGGAGAGCCTCTCCCTTTCATGTTTGAGACAGGAACTCGCTCTGCAGACCAGGCTGGCTCAAACTCAGAGATCCGCCTGCCTCTGCCTCCGCCTCCGCAGTGCTGGGATTAAAGGCGTGCGCCGCCACCGCCTGGCAAAACTCTGGCTTTTAAAAAATGTTTTGTGTGTGTGTGTGTGTGTGTGTGTGTGTGAAAACTCTGGCTTTTAAAAAATGTGTGTGTGTGTGTGTGTGTGTGTGTCTACTCGTTTGAGTCTGTATCGTGTGCACGGAGTGCCTGCAGAGGCCAGAAGAGGCGGCAGACCCTCTGGATCTGCGAGCAGCCGTGTGGGTGCGGGCCGGAACCCAGGTCTTCTTAAAGAGCTGCAATCGTTACTAACAACATAGCCAGAGTGGAGAGAGGGCTCAAAATAATGTCACTCTACTATCTTTGAAAATGAAGCATGGAAGGAGAGAGCCAGGCCACAAAGTTGTCAGACTTCCGCATGCCTGCTGTAGGGTGCAGACCTGCACACACAATTTCTGAGAACAGAAAACAGTAGGGGACACCTCCTCTTTAGTGTCAACCCCCCAGCACCAGCACCAGCAGGCGGGTCCTCATTGTACCGTGGTCGGTGGGTGGTGGTGCACCCTTTAATCTCAGTGCTCAGGAGACAGGCAGGTGACCTCTGAGTTCAAGGCCAGCCTGGTCTACAGAGCTAGATCCAGGACAGCCAGGGCAACACAGAGAAAAAAGCATCTATCAAAAAAACAAACAAACAAAAAAAAAAACAAAACAAAAAAAAAAAAAAAAAAAGCAATTTATTTTACCCTTTTTTACCTTTACTTTTCACTCCGTAGACCAGGCTGGCCTCAAACTCAGAGATCTGTCTGTCTCTGCCTCCCGAGCAGTAGGATTAAAGGCACGTGCTACCACCACAGCCTAACTCTTTAGTATTTTTGTTTTGTTTTTGTATTGCTTTGGAGCTGTCCTGGAACTTGCCCTGTAGGCCTGGCTGGCCTCAAACTCAGAGATCCACCTGCCTTTGCCTGGATTAAAGGCATGGGCCACCACTGCTCAGCTTTGAATACATGTTTTAAAAGATAAAATCTGTTTTATTAAAGATTTGTCTGTCATCTGTGTGAGTGATTTGCCTACATATATGTCTGTGTAGCACATGTGTGCCTGGTGTGTGCAGAGGCCAGAGGAAGGATGAGATCCCCTGGAATGAGAGCTAGTTTTTCCTCATACCTCACTAGTTTCCTGTGACTGTCACCAAGAAAGGCCCAGCTGAGCCAGCTACCTCCAGCTGAGAAATGCTGTCCCTATAGAGAAGACCTGCCAGGTGGTGGTTGGTGGTGGTGGCGCACGCCTTTAATCCCAGCACTCGGGAGGCAGAGGCAGGCGGATCCCTGTGAGTTTGAGACCAGCTTGGTCTACAGAGCGGAGTTCTAGGACAGGTTCCAAAACCACAGAGAAACCCTGTCTCAAAAAACCAAAAAGACTACAGTTCCCCATGGACCTGTATGGTGGCTTCAAGACCAGCTGGGCTACAGCTCTGCCTGCCTGTATGTCTGTGATGTGTGCCCCAGGGAGCCAGAAGAGGGGGGTCAGACGCCGTGCCATGTGGGAATTCCCCTGCTGGGAACTGACCTGGGTCCTCTGAAAAAGAACCAGGGCTCTAAGCACTGGGTCATCTCTTCAGCTGCGTACTTATTGCTGTCTCAGAAGCCGTCGATTCAGCCCCCATGGCAGTTCACAAGCGTCTATAACTCTAATTCCACACAGCATCCAATGACCTTCCGACCTCCAGAGACAGCAAGCACGCATGTTCATGCCGGCAAAACATTCATACATGTAACATAAATCTTCACCTAGAGTTTTGGGCCAGCCACGGCTACTTAGCGCAATGGTGGGGAGCTGACTCAGAGTAAAGGGCTCACCACGAAGCCTAACACCAAGTTCCAGACCAGGACCCTCGTGGCGCAAGGAGAGGAAAGATTCTTTTTGTTTTTTAGTGAGGGGAGGGTTGGGAAGGCTTCTCTGTGTAGCCTGGGCTGCCCTACAACTCACAACTCACTCTGTAGGCCAGGCTGGCCTTGACAGCAGATACTCCCTGCTGCCAGCCAAGCGCTGGGATTGGAGGTGAAGGCCCCTACGGCTGGCTGAGAACAGGGTCATGCAAGCGTCCTCTGAGGGGATGAAAACAAAAGGAGTAAGAGACGTTAATTCCACGCTTTTGCCCTTGAGGTGGGCTCTCACTATGTAGCTCTGGCTGTCTTGGAACTCACTCCATTAGACTAGGCTGACCTCGAACTCAGCGATCCCTGTCTCTACCTTCTGAGTGCTGGGATTAGAGGTGTGCGCCACAGTATGTGGCCTAACTCCGAAATTCTGAGCATTTGTATTCCCTACACCACAGCAATATGCAGAAAGTCCCCTGGAGGCAATGGCGGGGGCTGTGGAGAGAGGTGTGCCATGGCTCCGTAGGACAGGGTCAGTCACAAGCAACAAACCAGCCTGGCAAACAGGTCTGGATGATTTCTATGTGTACCTATGTGTGAACACGTGAATGCAGATGTCCAAACAGGCCAGAAGCGGGTGACCCCTCAGAACAGAGCCCTACAGTTACCGGAACTGTAGCTGCCTGACTTGGGTGCTGGGAACCGGATGAGGGTTGTCCGGAAGAGCAGAAGTGCTCTTAACCCAGGAGCCGCTTACCCAGCCCCAGTGCACACCCATCTTCAGTTCGATGCCATCCTAGTGGGATCCAGCACATTCCCCTCACTCTAGAAAGGTGTCTTGAATCCCTGCAGTCAGGGTGTCCCCAGGGCAAGCGCAGCCAAGGGCATGCAAGCATGGGCCATGACGTGGTTCAATGGGTAAAGTGCTTTATATGAACAAACCCGATGACCTGAATTTCTTCCCAAGATCCCACAGTGGGAGGGGAGAAGAGCCTCCCAAAAGCTGTCCTCTGACTGCACGCACGCATGCACGCGCACACGCACACATACACTGCTCCCTCATAAGCAGGCATACATGCACATTCTCACGTGCACACACATAAATAATAAAATATAGTAAGAATTTTATGAACAACTACCAGGCTGCCTGGGCTCACGAGGACGCTTAGGTCAGCTTAGGCAATTGGGAAGATGATGCCACGCCTGTCTAGGAAGGGAGGTAGATGCCCTTGCCATCTACCTGCCAGGCCTCCTGAGATCGTCCCAGCCCCCAGCTGTCCGGCACCTGCTGCCTGCTCTCGCTCACACCCACTTGCCAGTCCCCTGGGCTTCTGCTCCCTGTTGACCTAATAGGCAAATTCCTGCTTTATTCTTAGTCGCCAGCTGCCTTGACCCTGAGCAGTACTTGGCACTGGCTGGCTGGCATCTCTTGGCCATGGGCAGAGGACCCTGCTAGGCTGGTGAGACACTCCCTCTTTACACGGGGGACAGCTGCAAAGGGGACATTTCTCCTGAAGATTTCCCTTTTGTTTCTGTATGTCTATGTGTGTGTTTTGCCAAGCATTTTCAGGTGCCCAGGGGCGAGAAGAGGATTTCAGATTCCCTGGGGCTGAAGTAACAGCTGTGGACGTGGGGGAAGGGAGGACTGGGAACCAAGTCTTGGTGCTCTTACCCCTCAGCCATCTCTCCAGGCCCAAGGGGCATTTTCCTGTTCTTCCTTCCTTTCTTTTTTTCGGGACAGGGTGTCTCTGTGTGGCCCTCGCTGTCCTGGAACTCACTCTGTATATCAGGCTGGCCTCAGAGATCTGCCTGCCTCTGCACAGCTAAAAACTTATTTTAATGTTAAAAATTTAACCTTTATTTTTATTTATGTGTATGGTTTTTGCCGGCATGTATGTCTGATCCCCTGGGATTGGAATACAGATGATTGCAAGCTGCTATGTGAATGTTGGAAATCAGACCTGGGATCTCTGTATGATAATCTTTGTGTGAAGATCATCTTTGCCAAGGCTGATTCGTTTAATAAAGAGCTGAATGGTCAAAGCTAAGCAGGAAGAGGGTAGGCGGGACTTCCAGGCAGAGAGAGGAGAGGCACAGAGAAACATTGCCTCAAATAACCAAAACCAAAAAACCAACCAAAAGCAAAGTCTGGGGCTGGAGAGAGGGCTCAGGGATTAAAAGCTCCTGATGCTCTCGCAAGGGCCAGTGTGCTGTTCCTAGCTCCGGGTCTGCCGCTCAGGACCACCTGTAACCCCAGCTCCAGGAATCCAGTGCTTTCTTCTGGCCTCTGTGGACACCAAAGTACACCCAGAGAGACACACTCTGGATTTCATCCCTAACACTACACAGCACGTGTGCACACGCGTGTGCACACATGCAAAAATTAAAATGAAAACCACAATGAAGAAGCAGTTCACACCCTACTGTCACAACCCTGTGTAACCAACCAACGGTTAGGAAGTGAGAATGGGGGACGGAGAGATGGCTCAGAGGTTAAGAGCACTGGCTGCTTTCCAGAGGACCTGGGTTCAATTCTCAGCACTCACATGGCGGCTCACACCTGTCTGTAACTCTAGGTCCAGGAGACCTGGCACCCTCACACAGACATACACGCAGGCAAAAATAAATAATTTGAAGAAAAAAAAAAATCAACGCTGGGTGGTGGTGGTGGTGGTGGTGGTGGCGGCGGCGGCGGCGGCGCACGCCTTTGGACTCAGCACTAGGGAGGCAGAGGCAGGTGGATCTCTGTGAGTTGAAGACCAGCCTGGTCTACAAGAGCTAGTTCCAGGATAGGCTCCAAAGCCACAGAGAAACCCTGTCTTGAACCCCCTCCCACACTGACCTAGTATATGAATGTCAAAGCAGCACCTGGAACAGCCAGAAAGTAGGACAACTCTGAAGGCCCATCAACTGGCAGAGAAATAAAATGTGGTGTGTCTCATACAACACATACTATTCATCCACAACAGGGTATCAAGACACAACATGGAGGGACCTAGAAACAACATGCCGAGTGAGAGAAGGCAGCCGCAGGAGCCCACATACTACATGACTGCATTTAGAAGAAATGCGCAGACTAGGCTAATTCACAGGAGTTCAGAGGCTGCCAAGGACGGGGGTGGTCAAGACAGAAGGCGCTAGACTGCAGACAGACTATTACATACGTCCTAAAATTGTTTTCAGGCAGGATCTCATTTAGCCCAGCTTGGCATCTGGGTCTGTCTATGCAGCCTGAAGATGACCTTGAACTTCTGATTCTCCTGCCTCTGTGGCAGGTTCCTGCCTGGTGCGCTTGGAGGCCAGAAGAGGGAATTAGATCCCCTGGAGCTGGAGGGATTACAGGTGTGTGCTACCACGCCCAGAGAGCATGCTCTAAAATTGTTAGTGGTGATGTCCGTACAACTTTGTGAACACACTACAAACCACTAAATTGTTTGCTTTAAGTGGGCAAAGTATATATTATGTGAATCATATCCCAATAAAGCTCACTGGGAATAAGAACAGGAGCTAAGAGTGAATGCTTGTAATTTCAGGGCTACCCCATCTCAAAAACATAACAAAAACACACAAAGAGGCAGAGGAGGCTAAGTGAAGAGGCTAAGAGCACTGGCTGCTCTTCCCAAGGACCTGGGTTTGATACCTAACACACAGAACAGCTCACAACGAACTCCAGGGCCCTTCTTGTGGCCTCTGTAGGCAGTTTATTTAAGTGGTGTACAATCATACATGCAGGCAAAGCACTCATCTGAGCTGAGCAGTGGTGGCGCACACCTTTAATCCCTGCATAGGCAGTGGCTGGTGGATCCCTGTGAGTTCTAGGCCAGCCTGGTCTAGTGAGTTCCAGGACAGCCAAGGCTACATAGAGAAACCCTGTCTTGAAAAACAAACTAAGAAAAACCCTACTCATTAACATAAAATAAAAATAAATATTTTTTTTTTCTTTTTTGGACAGGGTCTCACTCTGTAGCTTTTGTTGGCTGGAAACACCATATGTAGGTCAGGCGGGCTTCAATCTGAGAGGTACACTTACCTCTGCCTCCCTTGGGCCGAGACTAACGATGTGTTTACCATGCCCATTTTAAATGAAGCTTAATCTCCCTACAGAGATACATAGTAAAATCTGATGCCATCCTGGACTGCATGCAAGCCTGTCTCAAAAAATAAAATAAAATAAAGCAATCGCTGGGTAGGGCCACGACTTAAATTCCAGAACTTGGGAGGCAAAGGCAGGTGGATCTCTGAGTTCGAGGCCAGCTTGGTCTACAAAGTGTGTTCCAGAGCAGCCAGGAACTGGCTGTTACACAAGGCTGTCTCGAAAACAACAATAATAAAAATAAAAAACAAACACATGAAAATAAGTGGCTGGGGTGGCTGTGCACACCTTTAATCTCAACACTCGGGGCGGCATGGGCAGGCGATCTCTGAGGACAGTTTGGTCTACAAAGTGAGTTCTGGAACAGCAAGGGCTATCTCGTGAGACTGTCTCAGGTAAAACAATTCACTTGCTTCAAGGGTCCTGCAGGGGCCTAATCCACTACTCTCCTCGCCTCCTCGCCATTGTCTGGAAAACTGAAGCGGATTGACGAATCCTGTCTCAACTCTCACTCATCCAGGGAGTCCCACGTTCCTCCCTGCACTGGGACCAATCGCTTTTCCACCGCGGAACTACAGTTTCTAAGAGCGGCCGGCATGAGCGCAACACATTGCAGGGCATGCTGGGAGATGTAGTTCAGCTTTCAACTCAGGGAGTCCAGAACGCTCTATTAATGATTGGCAGAAAGTCGGGTGCGCAACCTTATCCTGTGTCCCTCGGAAGTTCAAATATCCCACCCCAACAAGGGATCTTAGCGACGCGACCCCAGACCGCCTGCGGCTCACCTCAGAAACGGTTATCCGACCCAGCGTTGCGTCGACTGTGTCCCGAACCGGAAAAGAGTACTGTATTTTTCCACTCCACTCCACCCACTTCCGCTCGGCGTAGAAACCGGAAATAATACTGCCCCTAGTTGCGGAGGCGCTTGGACTGGTTTGGGAAATCCTTTCTTCTTCTCTTCCAGCCCCCCGGAAACGTGAGTAACAACTCGAAGGTTCCGCAAAGCTAAAGTGTCTTAAATATAGGAGACCGCTTAGCCCGCACTAGGCAAAGTGCGTCAGTTGCGTTGAGCCTCTTCCAGTCTCAGTTTAAAAACTAACTCCTTCGCCCAAGATTCTGAGACCCACTTTCCCAGATATATGCTTATTTTTCCCGGTGCATCTTAAGAGACGACTTAAGTGAGAACTCTTCTTTGCACATATTGAAAGAGCAATAGTCAGAAGATCTCGAGGCCAAGCTGTTCAAGTCACTTGTCAGAAAGCGGATTTACTGTGGCACCGCCCAGTTGTTCTAGGATCCAAAGCATTCCGTTCCCACCAGTTTGTAGATCTCCAGAGACCCGAGATTTATTTTCCTGGCTCTGCCAAGCAAACTGTTTGTAGGCAGAGACCCTGGCTGGGAAGGGAGAAAGGAGGAGATTCCCTCTATAGCGTAGGAAAAGAAAGTCTTGCTTCTGTGTGGGGCCATGTCCCCGAAGCCCTTGGCCCTAAGGTTCCTTTAAGTACTTTGTCCCTTACCTGAGTCCCTCCCAGAGTAGGTAATCAGTAGCCCCGCCCCCCTGTCAGAAGCCAGGACCGGGCCTAGTTACCGAAAGTGAAACACCCCTCCTCCCTCTCCCCTCCCCTCCCCCCACCCCTTGTCACAACTGGTTCCTGCTGACCCAGGGGTCTTCATTAAAGAAGAGAGACGGGGCTCTCAGGTCTGGGCAGGTAAGTGAATAATGCTCTCAGAGAAACTTGGGGGTGGGGTGGGGGCGCTCCGGTGTCCTGACTCGACTTGCCACACCATTGGGATCTAGAAACTTGGGGCCCTGAGACCCTGGGACCTGGAATACAGGACCCCCCTGTCCCCTCAAGCCTTCAGACCTCAAAACTTAGTATCTTGTCTGTCCTGTAATCTTTGATCTCTGAGGGTGGATGAGGCAACGGGCAGAGAGACGCTGACTTGGAATGGAATCTGCCAAGTTGGAATGGATCAGGACTGAAGATGAACCTGTTTAAAATGTGTTAGACCTGTGACGGGTACTGTGGGTACAGCAGAGGCATTAAAAAAAGGGAGCACACCAACTCTGTGCTCATCATTGGGAGGGCCCTGCCGTCTCTGAGCTCCTGGTACCACCTGTGACATAATATCCTCATCTACAGAATGGCAGGAGTAATCAGATGGTCCTGGAAATTAAGATGAGCTGATGCAGGTTCAATGCTGGTTTTTGTTTCATTCATTGACTGCAGAGTCCAGGCAGGGAGTCCTTGCCTCCCTCTGCTACTCAGGCATTGCCATTTGTGAGTGCAAACAACATGATGGGCCATCCTTTCCTGCTCGTAGTCTACATGGGATTGGCCACCTGCCTGGACACCTTACCTCATGGAGAGCAAAACCAAGGTGAGTGGGGGAAGAGCCTTGCAGAGGTTTAATTTCTGCCTTCCTCTAGCCAGGATTCTGCCTGGCTTCCTGGGCCCCAGGCCTTCTCACTCAGATCCAGGAGTTGAGACCCCAGCCTTTTCCCTCAGACCCATAAGTCCAGGCCCCAACCCAACTTGCTCAGAAATAGATTTTCATAGTCCATTTTTCCTCCCGTATTCCCTGGCCCTCCTTGCGCATGCCGCCAGAACCCCACAGCTCTTTATCATCCTTGTCCTCAATCCTAAGGGTTCTCTTTTTTGACCCTGATGTCCTTAGTTCTTGACATCTTCCTGGACTCCCCAGAGGCCCAGAGTTTCCTAGTTGGCCACAGGCGGATTCCTCGGGCCAACCACTGGGACCTGGAGTTGCTGACCCCTGGGAACCTGGAAAGGGAGTGTCTGGAGGAGAGGTGCTCCTGGGAAGAAGCCCGGGAGTACTTTGAGGACAACACACTGACGGTGAGGATGTGGGCGCGGGCGCGGACGCGGGTGTGGGCGCGGGTGCGGGTGTGTGTGTGGGTGGGTGCGGGTGTGTGTGGGTGTGGGTGCGGGTGCGGGTGTGTGTGTGGGTGCGGGTGTGGTGTGGGTGCGGGTGCGGGTGTGTGTGTGTGTGTGGGTGCGGGTGTGGGTGCGGGTGTGCGGGTGTGGGTGCGGGTGTGTGTGTGTGTGCGGGTGTGGGTGTGTGTGTGTGCGGGTGTGTGTGTGTGTGCGGGTGCGGGTGTGTGTGTGGGTGTGGGTGCGGGTGTGGACGCGGGTGCGGGTGTGTGTGTGGGTGTGGTGTGGGTGCGGGTGCGGGTGCGGGTGTGTGGGTGCGGGTGTGGTGTGGGTGTGGGTGCGGGTGTGGGTGTGGGCGCGGGTGTGGGTGCGGGTGCGGGTGTGTGTGGGTGTGGTGTGGGTGTGGGTGCGGGTGTGGTGTGGGTGTGTGTGTGGGTGTGGGTGCGGGTGTGGTGTGGGTGTGGGTGCGGGTGTGGTGTGGGTGTGGGTGCGGGTGTGGTGTGGGTGTGGGTGTGGTGTGGGTGTGGGTGCGGGTGTGGTGTGGGTGTGTGTGTGGGTGTGGTGTGGGTGTGGGTGCGGGTGTGGTGTGGGTGTGTGTGTGGGTGTGGGTGTGGGTGCGGGTGTGGACGCGGGTGCGGGTGTGTGTGTGGGTGCGGGTGCGGGTGCGGGTGCGGGTGTGTGGGTGCGGGTGTGGTGTGGGTGTGGGTGCGGGTGTGGTGTGGGTGTGGGTGCGGGTGTGGTGTGGGTGTGGGTGCGGGTGTGGTGTGGGTGTGGTGCGGGTGTGGGTGTGGGTGCGGGCGCGGGCGCGGGTGTGGGTGCGGGTGTGTGTGTGGGTGCGGGTGTGGGTGCGGGTGCGGGTGTGGGTGCGGGTGTGGGTGTGGGTGCGGGTGCGGGTGTGGGTGTGGGTGCGGGTGTGTGTGCGGGCGCGGGCGCGGGTGTTTCATGTTTAGTGGCCTCTTTCCCCTCTCTTCCCCTCCAATCCTTCCAGGAGCGCTTCTGGGAAAGCTATGCCTACAATGGCAAGGGAGGTGAGTGGTACTCAGCCCTCTCGTTCACACTGGGGAAGCAGCCCTTAGCCCTGGGGTTTAGTCCAAAGCCTCCACCACACATACAAGGACCACCTTCCCTCAAATTCCATGCTGCCCAGAGATGGCTGACAAGGCCATTATGACCCTGCTCTGAGAGACCCAACACAACCGCATTCACATTTATAGGAGGGCCCAAGCCCCCAGGAGGGGGATGTGGGTGGGCAGATGGAAGAAAGGGTTATTGCCATGGGGCCTATCAGAAGGACAGACTCACCTGGGACCTTCTGTAGACTCCAGAGCCCCAGCCCCTCACAAGCATCTTGGTTGCTAGTGGGGCTGTTCCCTAGCAACAGAGCTAGGGCCTGAAGCCTGGCCATTCTCACCTGTCCAGTTTGCCTACACCAGCCCCCTCCTCCGAGTTCTGAAGCCCTCATCTTGGCTTGAGCCTTGTTGCTAAGGGGGGGCTGCTCCTTAGCAACAGGGCCCTGGCCAGGCCAGACAGAGGAAGCCAGAAGCACTACCTGGCTGGCTTCCCCTCCCCCAAAGCCCCATGCCAGCCACAGCCTGTCTGGTTGCTAAGGAGGCCTTCTCCCTAGCAACCGTACCTAGCTGGAGGACCAGGGCCTCCCGCCCAGCTGGAGGACCCCCCTCTGGGCACCAGCTGCCCCACCCCCTAATGGCCTGGTTGCTAGGGGTGGATGCACCTTAGCAACAGGCCCTAGGTCTCTGCTGGAGTACTCACAGTGGAACCGGTTGCTAGGGGAGATAGCTCCTTTTCTACCATCCTACCGAGGCCTAGTGGCTCCTTGGATCACCTGAAATCTGCCAGACTTTGGAACCCTGTCTTCTCACTGCAAGCTAAAACAAGGTTGGAGGTGGAGATGGGTGGTAGCCAGATTTGACGGCCCTGGCCTTGGCCTTGCAAGCCCAGCTACTCCAGAGGTAGAAGCAGCTTGTGAATCCAAGGCCAGCCTCTGCCCCATACCAAGCCTGTGGCCAGTTTGAGAATCCATGTCTCAATGAAACAAAACAAAGGCTAGGGAGAGACCAATTGGTAAAATGCTTGCCATGTAGACCCGCATTTATCCCCGGAGTCTACAGGAATGCTGGCCTACCTCTGCAATCCCGCTGTGTGAGAATAGAGACCGGAGGGCTCACGGATAACCAGCTGCCTAAGTCACTGAGCCCCTCCCTAATGAGAGAACCTTTCTAAAACAATAAAAATGGAAAAACAGGGTGTCCCTTGAGACTGCTCAGGAGGAGAGTGCGCTTGTCACCAAGCTCAATGACCTGAGTCCAGTCCCTGGGTATCACATGGTAGAGGGGGCGAACTGACTTATGGGAGTTGTCCATTGACCTCTTCACACACATATGAACACAGATACACACATATAAATAATTAAATGGAAAAATAACAAAGTATATAACTTTTGGTGAAAAACATCCAAGGTTGAACTGTGGTCAACACACACACACACACACACACACACACACACACAAAAGCACACACAAGCACACACACGCACCCATGCACACATACACGTCACACACATACACACATATATCACACATACATGCCACACACATACACACACCACACACACACATGTACACACCACACACACCACACACACACACAAGCACACACCACACACACTCACCACATACACACAACAAGCACACACACAAGCACACATACGCACCCATGCACACATACGCATCACACACATACACACATATATCACACATACATGCCACACACATACACACACCACACACACACACAACAAGCACACATATGCACCCATGCACACATACGTGTCACACACATAACACACACATACGTGCCACACACATACACACACCACACACACATGCACATATACATACACCACACACACCACACACACCACACACACACACCACACACACACACCTATTTAATCAGCAGTAAGGGCTGGAGAGATGGCCCAGCACTTAAGAATTCCTGTTGTGCAGGGCGGTGGTGGCGCACGCTTTTAGTCCCAGCACTCAGGAGGCAGAGGCAGAGGCAGGCAGATCTCTGTGAGCTCGAGGCCATCCTGGTCTACAGAGCTAGTTATAGGATGAACTCCAAAGCCACAGAGAAATCCTGCCCCCCAAAACCAAATAATAATAATAATAATTCTTGTTGCTGTTGCAGAATACTGGGGCTTGGTTCCCAGAACCCTAGTTAGGTGCTCACTACTGGTGATGACTCTAGCAGATCCAGAGAGTCCAATATCTTCCTTTGACCTCCGTGCACCTGCTTTCCACACACATACACACAAATGCAAATAAAATAGGTGATTTAGGAAATCAACAGGAGGCTGGAGAGATGGTTCAGGGGTTAAGAACACTTGCTGTTCTTGCAAAGGACCTACATGGTGGTCATCAATCCAATTCCAGGAATCCAACACCCTCTTCTGATCTCTTACGGCATGAGACATGAATGTGGTGCACATATACATACAATAAAAATAAATCTTTCTTAAATAGCAGAAGTTCAGCCAGGCAGTGGCAGCACATGCCTTTAATCCCAGCACTCGAGAGGCAGAGACGCGCAGATATCTGTGAGTTCGAGGCCAGCCTGGTCTACAGAGGGAGTTCCAGGACAGCCAGGCTGTTACATAGAGAAACCCTGTCTGGAAAAAAAACCAAACCAAGCAAAACAAAAACAGGAGGTGGTCAATCTTCAGCATGACAAAAAGTATATGAAATTATTTAAAACTAAAAAGAGCCTAAAGCAAACAAAATCAAGTTGAGGGTAGGGATGCTGAAGTCTCCTTTGGCTCCATATGTTTGTCGAAGGGGTCTGCACCTTAGGCTCAGGTTCATGTAAGTCAACACCTCCATATTTCAGGGTGTCCTCCAATTTATCCATTTATCCGTCGTTATCCTTGTAAATGACGAAGCTTTCCTAAAGAATGGCCCTTCCTCTTGTGCTACACCAACACAACCCAGTTTAATAGAAGGTACACATTAATGTGTTTGCAGTTAACTGTCTTCCTCCCCTCCCCTCCCCTCCCCAGTGGTGGGGATGAACCCAGGGCCTTATGAATACTTGCCAACTGCAATACCCAGCTGCTACACCCCAAATTCAATTATCTTCTCATTCGTTTTGTGACAGCGTCTCACTAACTTGCCCAGGCTGACCTTGAACTCACCCAAGTAGGTGAGATGGCATGTTGGGGCCATCACTCTCTGCTCAGTTTATTTTTTGAGACAGGGTTTTCTCTGTAGCTTTGGAGCCTGTCCTGGAACTTGCTCTGTAGACCAGGCTGGTCTGGAATTCACAGAGATCCGCCTGCCTCTCGAGTGCTAGGATTAAAGGTGTGCACCAAAGCCGGGCCTCCCTGCTTAGATCTTAATGAGTGATCTAAGGCTCATGGTAGGGCTCATGTCTCCATTCTGCACAGCAGGAAACAGAGACTCTGAGAAAGCCACAGTTTGTTGCCTGAGGCCACAGGAGCAGGAAGGGAGGGAGTCTCAGATCTATCTGCCTTGCTTATGTTTGTTTGTTTATTTATTTTTAGAGGGTTTCTCTGTGTAGCCTTGGCTGTCCTGGAACTCACTCTGTAGACCAAACTGGCCTCAGAACTCATAGAGATCCACCTGCTTCTGCCTCCTGAGGGCTGGGATTAGAGGTGTGTGCAGCCACCACCACTGGGCCTTAGCACATGCCCTTAGGGAAAGGAATTGAGATGTTGGAGGAGATGGTGGCCCCTGGATGGTTGGTACCCTCTACCCACAGGGCGTGGACGAGTAGATGTCGCAGGCCTGGCGGTAGGACTGACCTCTGGGATCCTGCTCATCATTTTGGCTGGCTTGGGAGCATTTTGGTATCTGTATTACCGACGACGGCGCCGCCTCAGAGTCCAGGAGTCCTGTCAGCAAGAGTAAGGGGGCTTCAAGGAGGAGGGAGTGTGTGGGATGGATTGAGAGGAAACTGGGAGGGAAGAGGCTCGATCTGAGCAGGGCTAAAGTCTGGCGCAAGAGACCAGTGATGAAGAGCGTGGAGCCACAGACCTATGGCGGCCAGTAAGTCTGTGGCCATTCCTGCCTGTCTGTTAGGAAGTTGATACCTCTTCGTCTTTTGGGTGCCAGGTCTCAGTGTCACTGTGTAGCCTGTGGGCCACAGCTGTGGGTGGCACAGTCTTTTCTACGGGTACAGGCCACGGGTACAGGTCACAGCATGTGTTTGTATGAGCTGTGAGTTGTCTAGATGTAAGACACCTCACAGGGTGTCTTAGACTAGTAGCTGGGTGTCGGGGTGCTTTGTCATCCCCGAACCTAGGAGGCAATGGCAGGAGGGTCTAGAAATCCTGAAGACCTCTTCCCTGTGAGTGAGTTCCAAGCTAGCCTGGGTAACTCAAAGTAAAATGTGAAAAGAGAGGCCAGGGTGCAGATCAGTGGTAGGATGCCCATGAAGGGCCGGGACACAGGACGCCCTGGGTCCTGGGCGCCCCCAAATGTGAAAACCTGAGTCCTAGTCCAAGGACTCACATGGTGGAAGGAGAAAACACACTCTCCCAAGTTGTCCTCTGACCATCATTTGTGTGTGGGTATGTGCTTGTTTGCACGCACACGCGCACGCGTGCACACACGCACGCGCACACACATGCATGTACACACGTACACACAGAATACACAACTGTATTTTAAATATAAAAATAAGATCTACAGGAATGGGTTTGGGCTTAGTGCCTCACACATGCAATCCCAATGCTCGGGAGGCTAGGCAGGGTTGCTGAGTGTGAAGCCAGTCTGGGAGACTATGCATAAAAGAGTGGATTTGGGAAACTCTGGAACTAAATGTTTCTGTGTGGACCTGCTGAACTTTGTCTTGTCTGGTCCTGGTGTCTGTTCACCTGATGTTTCTGTGGACGAGAGTGTACATTTGCGGTTCATTTTCATGTCTGCCTGTCTGTCCATCAGGCCGTCTATTGAAGCACTTTTCTGAGTCATCTCCCTTCCACGTCAGTCTCTTGTTCTGTAACCCCTTGGTCATGTAAGGTTTGTTTTTTATTTCTTGTAAAGATCTATTTTATGTGTTTGGGTGTTTCGTATGTATGTATGTATGTATGTATACCACATGTATGCCTGGTGCAATCAGAGGTCATAAGAGGGCACTGGTTGGATCTCCTGGGACTGGAGTTGCAGATGAGAAGCCATGTGGGTGCTGTGAATGGAACCTGAGTCCTCAGCAAGAGCAGCCCGTGATCGTAAAAAGGGGAGCCCAACTCCAATGGACCTTTTATACTAACCACTCTTTCTGCCTCTAGGAGCGGGCTCATCAGCCCCCTGAGTCCCCCGACGCCCTTGTGTCCACCCTTACCTCCAGGCCTCCCCACCTACGAGCAGGCGCTAGCGGCCTCGGGGGTGCATGATGCCCCTCCGCCCCCTTACTCCAGGTACTGGGTGGGGCTTCTCCCTGGGCACGGAGTGTGGAGGACGGCAGCCGCGTGGGAGGGGCGGCCCCCACGGGCAGGTCCCGCTGCTTTGGGAAGCCTGTAAGGGGCGGGGCTTGCAGGGCAGGGCGGGCCCTACGCAATTGTCTGTAGGGGCGTGCACCAGCCTTGCCAGAGCGCAGCTCTTCGGGGAGGTGGGGCTTGTGCCTCCAGGGTTCGGGATTGGCTGAGGCGCCAAGGGCGGGTCAGCGTGGTCCTGGCGGAGGGGGCTCGTTTGACTCTGCCCTGTGCACTCCCCACCCCCACCCCGGGTAGCCTCCGAAGGCCTCACTGAAGACCTGCCCGAGAGCGCGGGCTCGCGAACTGTGCCCCCGATCACGGCGGACTCCGGAAGTCGCTAGGCCTCTTCGACTCGCCGGCTTCAATGTGTGCCCGGGGGAGTCAGGGTCGTCGGACCCGAGATCTACCATGACACACGTGCTTCCGCCGCGCACCGATAAAAACCACACAAGCATGTTCCTGGCCGTCCCGTTGCCGAGTCGGGGCCCTGCCTCCCCCACCTCTCCAGAGCAGCGGCCCTTGCTCGGAGTGGGCAGGCTCCTTTGCAAACTCGGACGAGACGCGACTGGACCGTCGCCCCGCCGGGGTCGCGGGGACTGTACACGCAGAAAGCCAGGCCCGTGCTTGCGCCCACCTTCGTGTGTTTCCCCACTTCGGCACACGGGCTGTTCGTAATCCGGCATAGAGGTGGAGGGCACTTTCGATATGTCCCGGGAAAGGGGTGTCACGCTGGTGTTGTACCCCGGGAAATGGAGTTGAGCTGAGCTGCTGTCTACCTTAAAAAAAAAAAAAAAAACCCTTTGGAAAAGGAAGAGATTTAAAAAGAAAGAACCCACACACACACACAGACAAAAAAAAAATTAAACGCAATTCGAGGAAAATAAAAATGAAAACGAACTGAACCCCGTTCCTGGACGCATCTGCGCGCGGTGGAGCTGGATTTCTGTCCAGGCGCTGTGCCCTACACCCCCAGGCTCCGCCAGTGCGCTCGCTCTCCTGCTCGCTCTCGCCCTCCCTCTCCCTCTCCCTCTCTCTCTCTCTCTCTCCCAGGCTCCGCTAGTGCTCCGTCGCTCTCTCTCTCTCTCTCTCTCTCTCTCTCTCTTTTTTTTGCATTTGCACGGGATTGTGGGAGGAAGCGGAGCGCAGCCAGACACCCCGCCGCCCGCCCCCCTTCCCCTCCCCCTCCCCCAGCCGCCTTGTGCAAAGATGGCTGCACCGTGAGCGCAGAGGAGGAGGAGGCGGCGGCGGCGGCGGCGAAAGAGCGAGCACCCAGCGCCTGCACCCACTCCGGGGCCGTCCGGGACGCCCCCTCCCGAGCGCGCGTCCCCCTTCTCTTTTGCAAGCGCCGGGGCAAAGGCGGAGACAGCGGGGTCCCTCCTCCCCCCTTTCCCTCCTCCAGGGGGAACCCCCCCTCCTCGGCTCAGCGGCTGCACCCCTCCTTTGCCCGCCCCTCCGTCCCTGCCCCCTCCCTCCCCCGCCCGGGGCCTTCCCGGGCCTTCGGTGGCCGCAAAGAGAAAAAAAAAAGAGAGAGAGAGAGAGAAAGGGAGGAAAAAAAGCAGCGGAGGGAGCGGCGGCGGAGGAGAGCGCGCGCGCGCCCCCTCCTTTCCCCCTCCCTCCCCCTCCCCCCAATTTCCACCGCGGCCAATTCATGGACAGGAACTACCCCAGCGCCGGCTTCGGGGACCCGCTCGGCGCCGGGGCGGGATGGAGTTACGAGAGGTCAGCGAAAGCTAGGTAAGAAGCTGAGGGGGACCTGGAGAAACGGGCCAAGAGATGGGGGTTCCTTTCGGGCCTGGGCCTGGGGCCCGCCCGGCGACGCGTGCACCGCCAACTCCCCCTCCGGCTTTTGCAAGGGAGCGGCCTTCTTTGGGTTTGTAACAACGCCGCCGCCCCAGTTTGCAAATTGCAAACTCCGCCAAAGCCAGCTCCGGCTTGCAAAAGAGAAACGAAGCAGGCAAGGCGCAAAAACAAATTCGAACCGGGAAGGCCTTGGGAAGATGGGAAGGATTGGCAATGCAAGGCCTGGACTTGCCCCCCATCTTTGGATTCCCGGCTTGCTGACCCCTCCCCCTGGGCGCCCCTGGCTCTGCAGCTGCAAAGGTGGGAGGAAAGGAGAATTAGCTTGCAGGCCTGGGGGGGCGCGCACCCCCTCCCAGGTCCTATTGTTCCGGGGCTGCGTGAGGCTGGGCCACTCGGGCCCTCCTCCCCCCAAGAAATTCCGCGCGCAGAGTGGGCACGGGGCCCCGCCCCCTTCTTAAGCTGGTTTCTGTGTGTTGGGGGGGTCCTGGGATTAGGGACACGCCCCCTTTTGCTCCCCACCTTCCTCAAAGCTGAGAACCCTGGTTGATGGTGCACTGTTTGCCCTCTGGTCCGGGGCCACGGGATTGGGCCCTTGTAGGGGCTGAGTAGGATCTTTTCCTCGTCTGTGTTTGCGTGTGTGAGCGTGGGTCTTTTCACGCGTGGCTAGCGGCATGCTCGTCTGTGAGCCTGCCTCTTGTTTAATTTGTGTTGGAGCCCTCACTCTTCGCCTGCCCTTCAGCCCCTCCCCCTCTACACTTGGGTCTCCCCAGCGAGTACAATTTTTTCGAGTGGGACTTGACACTCAGGACCTCTTCTTCCCCCCTTGTGAATTAAACTCTTGCGTGTACATGCACCTGGCTCTGCTTCAGCCCCCTGGGGATGAACCCAATCCATGCCAGCACTGGTACCTGGGACTTTCCCGGGGTCCTGTCCCCTCTCCACCTTCCCATTTGGGACACATGCTGCCTCCTGCTCTGTCTTGGCTGGGATCCTTTCCCTAATACAGGGTCTGTGCTGTTCCAGCGGGGCCTGGGATGTCCATGTGTCCTTGCAGGGTTGGACCTTTCGTTGTGGCGTGTGTGTGTGTGTGTGTGTGTGTGTAGGGGAGGGTTCCAGGAGAGGATCGCGCCTTTCACTTTGGCCATTGTAGACTCTTCCCCTGACTTGCCCTGTCCCTGCATGCCTGTGTTTGCAAACGTGGGACTCCTAAGGATTCCAGAATAGGGTCGTTTTTTGTGCTGCCCCCATGGAGCAACTGGATACCCTGGTGTGCTATCTCAGGGATCCTTGGAGTAACACCTCCATTCAAGTGGGAGGTTCCCTCTTCCCAGAGGATAGCTTGAGAGGCGATTCTGACATCTCTCTCTTGCTCTCAGCTTGGTCTATGGCAGCTCCCGGACCTCGCACCCAGAAACCGACATCTTGCACCGCCAGGCCTACGCGGCCCCCCACCCACTACAAAGCTATGCCACCAACCACCACCCTGCAGGTACGGGCCCCCATCCCGGAGGGCTGGGGCGGTCCGCCCTCCAAGACACCTGATTGGTTGCTGAAAGTTCCGCCCCCTGCTAATTGGCCTTGCCCGTGGTCCTGGCCCTCGTTTTTTGCCACTTCTCCTCTGATTGGTTGCCTTCGAGCTGCTGGTCCCTGCTGCATTTTACACCGGATTCGTCAGGCCCTTTATGAGTCCGCCCCTTTCGCTCCTATTGGCTGCTACCCATCAGGGGCCCCCAAATCCCACCTTCTCTTCCAGGCTTTTCCTCCTCTTTCCAGCCCATCCCGGTCCTTTCTCTCCCTGTGAGTTTGCTTGACCCTCTTGGCTCCTTGGTTCCTTATTTTTTTTCCCTTATTGGCTCCAACTCTTTGGCCCGCCCCCTTTTTTCTTAGAGTAACCTCATCCGCCATGGCTGTGGCCTTGCCGCCCACACCTCTGATTGGTTCCCTTCCCTCGGATTTTTAAACCAGTCCTATTTGGCCCCTGGTTCTCCTGGATGGGTCTTTTCCTGCTTTCTGCCTCTTTTGCCTTTTTGCGGATACTTCCGTGGTGCTGGGAATCAAGCCTGGACCCTTACACTTAGCCACACCTTTCTTCCCTTCGTCCTTCCCTCCCTCCCCATCCCTCTCTTTTTTTAGTTTTGAGACAGGGTGTCACTAAGTTGCTCCGGTTGTCTTTGAAGGTCTGATGCTCCTGCCTCAGCCTCTTTGAGGACTGATAGAAAGGCGCAGTGTCGCGTTTGCTCGTCTGCTCTGCAGCCATTCTGTCCTACACTTGGTGTAGGGCTTTCTGTTCCCGTCTCTCCCGACCCCCAGCCTCCACACGGCCTGGCTGACCTGTCCTCTTGTGCCTTGCCAGGCCTCTCTGGACTTTTTGACACTGGCCTCCACCACGCAGGCTCGGCAGGGCCTGACGCCTCCGTCATGAACCTCATCTCGGCCCTGGAGTCTCGGGGCCCCCAGCCTGGCCCCTCCGCCTCGTCTCTCCTCTCCCAGTTCCGAAGCCCTTCCTGGCAAACAGGTACGTCTAGTGCTAGTTCCCAGGGGGCTGGGGAAGGGCTGTCCCGTGGTCCCCTCTGACCTGTGGCCTTCTCCTTCATCCCTAGCCATGCACACACCAGGCCCCACGGAACTCTTCATCTCTGGTGCCCTCCCGGGTTCCAGCACCTTTCCGTCCTCCTCTGCCCTGTCTGCCTACCAGCACCCTGCTTCCTTTGGCAGCCGCCCCTTCCCAGTGCCCTCATCTCTCAGCCTCCAGGACCCACCATTCAGTCCTCCTGCCAATGGGCTCCTGTCTCCCCACGACGTACTCCACCTGAAACCCTCGCAGGCACCCACCGTGCCCTCTTCGTTGGGTTTCGAGCGCCTGGCAGGGGGTGGTGTCTTAGGACCTGCTGGCCTTGGCACTGCTCAGACTCCCCCTTACCGTCCCGGTCCCCCAGATCCACCTCCGCCTCCCCGCCACCTCCCAACTCAGTTCAACTTGCTGGCTTCTTCTTCTGCTGCCACTGCTGGCGAACCGTCCTCCCCTCAACTCTACAACTTCTCGGGTGCTGCCCCGGGGCCGCCGCCTGAGCGGGCCCTGCCCCGACAGGACACGGTCATCAAACATTACCAGCGGCCAGCCAGTGCCCAGCCCCCACCCCCACCCCCAGCCCATTCCCTGCAGCACTATCTGAGCTGCGGAGGCAGCTACCCCTCCATGGGCCACCGGGCCAGCCTGGCTTGCAGCCCTCTAGGAGGCGGGGAACCTTCTCCAGGTGCCGGGGAACCTAGCAAGGGCGGGCCCAGTGGAGCCACAGCCGGAGCAGCTGGCCGGGCCACCGGCCCCGAGACTGCCGGGGCCGGTGGGGCTGGGGGTGCAGGTGGCTACCGCCCTATTATCCAGTCCCCTGGTTACAAGACAAGTAAGGGGGGTTATGGGCCAGCCACAGGGGCCGCCAGCAGGCCTCCGCCACCGAGATCTACCGCCACACCCAAATGTCAGAGCCTGGGTGGGCCGGCTGCTTATGCTGCTGGAAAAGCCTCTGGGGCCGGAGGGGCTGGGGGCCAGGCATATTCTCCTGGTCAGCCCCAAGGGCTTCTGGGACCCCAGGCCTATGGGCAAGGGTTTGGAGGGGGTCAAGCACAGGACTTAAGCAAAGGCCCTAGCTACTCTGGCGGGCCCCCGCAGCCCCCCAGCGGTCCCCCACCCCCTGGCCTAGCTACCTGTCAGAGTTACTCTCCAGACCAGCTTCAGGGTCAGCTCTATGGAGTACAGGGTGAGCCTTACCCTGGGCCTGCTGCCCATTCACAGGGACTCCCCACAGCCAGCCCCTCCCTTAGCTACAGTACTGGCCACTCTCCAGCTCTCTCAGGCCATGGAGGTGGCTGGGGACCCAGTTCTCTGGGAGGTGGTGGAGAGGCTAGCCCATCTCACATCATCCGACCCCTCCAGTCACCGCCTGCTACTGGCCGCCCTCCTGGCGTCGGCTCTCCAGGAGCCCCCGGCAAATACTTAAGTTCGGTCTTAGCTTCAGCTCCATTCCTGGCACCCCCTGGGGCCAGCGGCTACGCAGCTGGAGCAGGCGGCTACAAGGGAAAAGGAGACGGCTCAGAGCTGCTTGCTGGTCCTGGTGGTGCTACCACTGAGCGTACAGAAGATGAAGAGTTCTTGATTCAGCACCTGCTTCAAGCACCCAGCCCACCTAGGTCCTCGGGGGCAGATGGCTTGGTGGGCGAGG